GCATCGAATGCAGAGTTATGTTATTGACGTGATATTTGCACAAACTATTATATTTCATATTTTGATAATAGTAATAAAATTTGAAAAAAAAAGGATAAACACGTAGTTTGCGTTAAAATAATAACAAAATAATAGTACAGCAATAGCGAGTAGAATAAAAGAGATGAATTGTATTTGAAATTAAAAACTAGTTCACTTTCAGTCACTTGGACATATTCTACTAACTCTTGTCTCCAGGAAGTAATCACTCGTATGCTTGAATATATACTCATACTTTCCCTGAGTCGCAAGTTTTTATCTGTATAATTTTCTTCCCATCAAACAGATTCATCGACTATTATTATAATATTAGAGAGGAGGACAAAGAAAAGAGTTTTTCTTATTAACTGCAAAGTTGATTACAAAACTGAAGAATAAAATAAATTGTTATTAATATCGTGAATAATGCGAAATTTAACGATAAATAGTACAATTATACGATTTATTTTCGTCATTTCCAGTATTTTATTTTTTTTCTTTATAATCCTATATTTAACGTCATGGGGGAAAGTTATTAACGTCAATGCTTGCTGCTCGGTCTATCTTTTAACAGAAGTAATGTGTGAATTTCACGATACACTGACTTCAAGGATGCGCTCGGTATCGTGAAATTGGACAATTAAAATTCTCTGAGTGAGTTCTGAAGACGTGTTGTGTATGTTTTATTACTATTTGGAATTTTATCGGTATCATTATCTACCATCATTTTAAGAAGCTAATAATTTATGACACAAAAATTCTACAAATATCGCTCTCTATTTATTAAAAATATGGCATATGGTTGCAGTGGAAAAAATGAGGGTGTCATTACCTTGACAATCTTTAAATATTTTTCTATCCATTTTTAAATGTAATTGTTTTGAATTATTACTATATCAATTATATATATTTGATAGATGTTTGTTTTGTTAAAAAGACTAAAAAACTGATATTTAAAGAGACTTTTCGGGACTGTGCATCGATCGTGCATCAATTATTTCTTCGACATCTGTTCCTTGCTGTATATTCCAGATTTATACTATAAATTTAAATTTTGCAATTCTAATTTTAAATTTATAACGTCATAAATTTTTGATATCGCAGAATTTCCATTCAATTCGTTTTATCACTGTTATATATATATCTTTCTCTTTTTTAATCACAGGCACTACATGTGCCAATAATAGGTCACATAAACTTTTTTGACATCATTTTTAGATTCCACATTTTATTTAGTACAGCACAATGATAACTGACACCATTCTTTCGTCTATTATTGAGTTTATCGCGAATCCATTTGGCTTTCCTTATGCGATAGATTTAAAAATTTACTTTTGAATTTTGTCGATCAGATTTATCAAATTTACCTTTCTTTTTGGAAAATTTTTCATGCTTTATGGGTCATGGACATTGCAAGTTTTGAATTCTGCAGATTTTTGTACAGGAAATTATTAAGTGCATACGTTCTTGACAACACATTGATAGTTACGACGATAACTTTCCGGTCGTTTATAATTGCTGATAAATCATTAAGAAGATAGCGGCGAGTGTCCTAGTGGCCTCGCGATAATAATCTATTGCAACAGCATGCACTTCGATCTTCCGCTGTAGCTGAGACTTCTTCGTAAAGAAGGCATGATAATACCAATAACCGTAGATAAAAGCAACTTAATAGTCGATAGCGACATCTCATGCATATGGTAATTTGTTCAATATGTATTCAATATATTATTACAATAAATAAAATTTATTACTGTTTTCCTTGACCTAATAGCAAATAAAATTAGACACGATTTAATGAATTTATAATTTTAAAGAGCAAAAGATTTTCTAAAGGTTTGTTATTCTCGATAAACTGAGTCAGCTGTCCAAACAAAGCCTGCGATTATTTTTCCAGATAGCCAAATATTAACAATATTTTGCTCGCCGGATTACGCTACGCTCTCAATTTTTTTACTTCTGCTTATCCCCCCAACACAATTTGAAAAAAAATCCAATAGAACTATTCTAATTGTTATTTTAAAAAGCAATGGCTTTTCTACTAAAATGCGATCAAAGGATTATCTAAAGATATTATCGGTATAAATACTTTGACCATTGGCTATTAAAGTCCATAAAAAAAAATATTAAATTTAGTAGATTGCAGTTCCTGACCGAAATAAATATAAATAATCTACAAGATCTTTTTTTTCATCGTCGAAATTTCACTTCATTAGATGCACTCGACAATTTGAGATATCTTGTACACCTGTCGATTGGGCAGAGCCGGTGCAACCGGTGATTCCGGCGTGGCAAAAGCGATTGTTACGCGACGTTATTCAATCGTATCTAAATGAGCAGACGGCAATGTGCGGCAGGTCGGGATTACCCAATAGTGGCTTCAATGTGACTTTCTCCGTGAAACTCGTCGCGCACCTTGCATACTGGCCTCTGAACTTCGTCGATCGGCGATACCGTGTCTTTTACTAATGATACGTGCGTGCAACTTGCGCGGAAAATCCGCAGCCAGTGTCGTACGGTTTTAGAAAGTCGCTCGCCGCCGTCCCCTTGCACAAATCTATATTCGCAGCTAATGCCGTTTCGTGTCGCCGGGCTGGTACCAGGCTTTTCCGAGATTTATGAAACTCTTTATTTCGCCGCGAATCGATTTGCACGGAAATTTATAGCGAAATTTATTACGTAACGATTGCAGTAACGATTTCGGAAAAATCGTGGAAATCGTGGAATTCAGCCGTGCGAATGGGCAGGGATTCGGTATTTTACAAGCGCTATTTGAATATCGTGCATTTAGGCAAAAAGGCGAAGAGAGATACTTGCGAAATGAAAAGCCGGTACTTATTCTTGCTAAATGTATCAGATTCTTTTTTTTTTTCTTTATTTCCTCTGTAATCAGTTACGATGATTGAATTAGTAAGTTATCATGTATTCCTGAACTATACGCAAAATAAATTAAAACCTCCTTGGATCTTCAAGGTGAGGATGAAGACGAACGTGCATGAAAATCTGACGAAGGTGATTCATCCTCCTTCATGTGTCATGTAATCCCTTATGAGGGACCATCGTCTCGTGAAAAAGAAGCTTTGTGTCAGTACAAAAGGCACAGGATTCTCGTCTCGATCGAAGGGTCTTTGATTAAAGAGCATTCGAGTGAATATTCACTAACTGAAAGATGAACCTTCTCGATTTATATTATAATGTTGTTTTTTAATTGAAATTATTATATATGCAGTTTGTCGAAAAAGAATTTATTAATTTCAAATTACTCCAACTTTTTCTACTTTATTATTAGCATATAGATAATAATGTGAGATCAATTAACATTTTATTAAATTGCTAATGTGATTCGCGCTATAAATATCAATCAGTTTAAACGAAAATTGATTATGGTTGACTCAGTTACTTCGCAATATTGATTAACGTCACTTATTTTAGTAAAGTACATTAAATCGAATTAAAAAGTCAATTTCAAATTAATTTAAAATATCTATTAATAATAGTAAGATAAAATAATTGTATACATTTCCAATTTTCTATGGCATGCAAGAGTTAAAGTACTAAATCATTTATAATATTGCATTGCTAGAAGCAAGCTTTCTATAAATTATGAAATATATTGATTAATTATCGCAACACTGAAAAGATGTGGAGAGAAAAAGAAGGATGCAAAATTTTGCAAGTAAATTGCGTAGTAAAAATTGAAATTAATAGATGTTGTTGAATGATTTGAATAATTTGCTTCTATAAAGCGCAGTCAAAGATAATCTTATTGAAATTTTATTGTTAGTATGACGAACATGTAATTCCAAACAATGTGGGTCAAGTCTGACGACATTTTTCTACATGATTTCAATGACAATCATCCTAAATGCTTCTGTTGCACAAATCATTCAATGCGTCGATCGCTTATCAGCTTTGATTGCTTCAAAGGATTAAAATTGATATTTTAATTTAGAAGCAACTGCAAAGAACTTGAACTTTGATATTTCAACAATAAAATTCTTTCGAAATTCTAAAAAAATGCGAAAATTTTATATTGATATTTTTTCTGTATAAGTCTTCTTCAGTCTTATATCAACAATTTGATATATAATCTCGTAAATTTCTCATTCCACTGATAATCTACAACATTATATAATTTTTTAATTACTAATTATATAAATTTTTAGTATCTTGTTTTTCGTAAAGTTACTTAAACTTCAGCTTACGTTGGTCGTTTGTTTCTTTAAAACCTCAATTTCGCAAAACCTTGTTTTCACTCCTTGCCACATGGATGACATAGACGTTTCCGCATAATTCTACTTTGAGAAGCATTAAATAAACGTCGCGCTATTATGTTGGTTGCATTCATCGACTAAAGCAAATAATAAATTTACGTAATGACAAAGACGGATGGAAAGAGAGGGAGAGAAGAGACAAAAAAATTACGAGCGTTTTTCGCGTCGCGCGTTTAACGAACCGTACGAGAAATTCAGTCTTGTACCTAACAATTTTCAACTTACATCTTTACATTTAGTAGCAAAAATGTATACGCACAATGCGTTATAGATGCAAATTACTAATTGGATAACTTGGAGTTGTTTGCTTCTCTCTTCTGACAACACAAAAGCGTGCTTTCTACACAATAAACATAAACCTTTACTGTTTGCAAGACACTTTGTAAATTGCAGAAAACGAACGTCTTCATTTCTTCATTCCATAAAACTCTTTCAATGACAGAAATCGATGTAGATTTCTATCTTTTTTATTTTGCGATGCAATATCTAGTGATGCAACAATTTACAACATTATTTTTATTATTATTTTCAATTATTATTTTTGTATCTTTTACTTGTGAACGCAAGACAGTCCGAATCTTGTTTTATAAAAATTGCTTTCTTTTCAGGTTCTTGTTGTTAAAATTTAATTTCATCATTTCGGTCAGCCGGATGTCTATTACATACTAAGTAGAATGATAGTTAAGGATCCTTTACTTTCATTTTCAGATGTGGCATTTGTCGTGCGTCGACGACTTCTTGAACCGCGCGTTTTACAAAGTTGGCCTCGTTGTTGGCCGACATCCCGGTTACTTCATAATCGTGCCAATACTGTTGGCATGCATATGCTTCACCGGCTACCAGAGGATACACTACGAAATCGATCCGGAATACCTTTTCTCGCCTATCAACGGCCCCGGGAAGACCGAGCGAGCGATAGTCGAACAGTACTTCAAAGTCAATTATAGTCAATTCAGTGTCGCTCGTATCACTAGGCCAGGTGAGAGCCTCGTCCATCATTCATACTGTCATTCTCGCGATTTCTTCGCAATACATTCCATGAATCTAATAAACCTAGAATCCTTCTAATCAGAGATGCTAATCTAGAGTTGACACGGATAATATAATGTATTCCCTGTATTTATAAAAGAAAAACACGAGAGAAATAGTGCTATTCTTATAACTTGCTACTTCTGCAGGCCGATTCGGTCATGTAATCGTGATTCCCAAGGATGGCGGGAATAACATGCTGAAGAGCGCAATTTGGCATGAGCTGGAGGAGCTCGATCAAATTATTCGGAACGTCAAAGCGAAATACGAGGATGAAATATTCACATACGAACAAATTTGCGCACGATGGCTTAACAAGTGCTTCAACAACGACATCCTAAATTTAAGTCATATAATAAGGTAAGCAATTATTCTATAATTTATGACACATAAAAAATTGAAAGAAAATATTTACTCTCACATTGAAGAAAGGGACAACGATATTTGTCGATTTTGAAATTGAGTTTTAAACTTTTCAGCCAGGTGGAAAAACGGGAATATAATCTGACGTTCCCGATGTATTTGAATCCAGTCACGTGGGACATTCACTTATTCCCGGTGTACTTCGGCGGAAGCGTCATCAATGATGATCTCACTATAGAATCGGTGCCCTCGGTACAACTCGGCTATTTCGTCACCGTCAACAGTTCACGGCAGGACGCAATGTGAGTTCACCGAACATGTTTGTCGAGTTTGCAAAAATCCCGGAATTTGCTCGTGAAACTAGCCAGTTGTCTTAATTACACGCGCTCACGATTTTGAAAGTAATGTTCACCGTAACTTACAAAAATGATTGGAGCCCCGAGGAGAAGTTTACGATCTACATTAATGCTACGCAGAAAGATACTCGTGCAGAATCATATAAGAAATAAAACCAGAAGCAATTTCAACAAGTTTTGAATTTTTACAAATGTCAAAACTGTGTCTCTAATTAAAATATTGTATAACCGTGTGCATGCGAATTTAAAGAATTTATATGAACGATAGCCTCTTATCTAATTTCGGCTAATATGCCTCTTTTCACTTTTAATATGCCTTGTAAATACTTTGTTAGCAATAATGAGCGAAGATAACAATAAGCGAATAACAAATGAAGCTAATATCTTATTAATTCATAATAGAAAAGCCACGAATTAACTGTCATCAATTGAATTACTATTAATAGTGTCCGTGCGAATCATAAATAACTGATTCATTACAGACCATTGATATTAATTGTCTATTGTTGTCACTAAAGATGATATAGTATAAAGTACGTATTGACAGCCTTCTTTTGTGCATAGAGTATACCAATCATAGACAGCATAAAAAAAAACAACATTACTTTTTATTATTTTGTCAAAATAAAAGAGGCAATAAAATTAGTGGCTTAAAAAAGTATATAATCTTCAAATAGATAATTTGACGAAAATTTAAAATTTAAATTAATTTAATTTAATTTTAAAATCTGAAGGAAACAAATAAAACTTTATTTGTGCGGACAGCCAATATTTCACATGCGCGATTCGTCAATATGCTAATTTGATTTTGATGTCCTTCCGACTCCCGAATTAGCGGAGCCGCCTGGGAGGAGGCTTTTCTGGATGCCGTCGGTAAGGTCGAGGACGAAGGTGCGTTCAAGCACATTAGCATCGCGAGATTTGCCTCGAGGACCCTCGAGCTGGAGCTGGAGGCTAACACCAAGACGGTGGTGCCATATTTCACCAGCACGTTCATTATAATGGCTCTGTTCTCGATCGTGACATGCATGATGACCGATTGGGTGCGTAGCAAGCCTTGGCTCGGGCTTTTGGGCAATCTTTCGGCCGCTATGGCGACAGTAGCTGCCTTCGGTCTATGTATCTATCTAGGGATCGATTTCATTGGCATCAATCTCGCCGCGCCATTCCTTATGATCGGTAAGTCGCTGTTGATTTTTAAGGTCCTTCTTTCATTGTTGATTTGAGCAATACTATTCTTAAAGTTTTAACAATTAGTCTGTATAGCTTTCCCACTCTCGCTATCCTTATTTCGCGGATCTTCGTAACGTCGAAGCTTCAAAGTTCGATGGTTTGTCAATCGATGTTCAGATTAATACTCCGTGTAAGTTAAGTAACGTAAATAACGATAGGGGCGTCGCCTTTTTTGCAATACCGATGCCGTAATCTCCTGTCACGTTTGTAGAAACATGTGTTGCCGATGATAAACATGTTAGTTCGCTTCGTCAGGTGCGTATGAGCGAAATAAACGAACTGTGATTTATGTGAAAAGCGGAAGTTCTCCTTTTCCCTTTCGACGTCGCGCTCGCCTGCATACGATGCCGGTTAAAGGCAGTTTTTACCGATAATAACAGTTCCATTCGACGCAATCGGCTGATCGTTAAGCTCTTAAAGCGATTATGTACTCAAATTTCATTAAAAAAAACTTAATGTTGATTGAAAATTGATGGATTATTGAAAGTTTACGTTATTCAATTTAATTTAAATTATTAAATCGAAAACGGATAATTTTTTTTTTTAATAATTAACTGTTTAATAATTTATGACTTGTTTCTATTACGAAACCAAGAAGTTTCTAAAGAATTTCTACTCAAGAATTTCAGTGGTGAGTTTTAAAAAAGTGTAACACTGTATAAGTCATACCGTAAAATTCTGTTATGTATTTCATTATAATTCTATAGATATATATGTGTGAAATAAAGATATTCGCGAAGAAGAGACGTATGATACATTCTCGCTAGTCACGTATTTTTTCGATATGAATATTAATGCGTATGCGAAATGCATTGTCTCGCGGTTTTATCTTAGCGCGAAGAAAACGTTTTTTATTGTTATTTATGCTCTTTAAAAAATTACATGCGACTCGTGTAGACGAACGTAATGTTCTCCGGAAAATTTACGATAAGACATTTTTCAAAGAACAATTGCACAATTCGAAAATATTTCGATTATCTCAAATAATATCATTTTTTTTGGAAAGAAGACTTATTTATATTTCATTATTTTGCAATCTTTTTAGTATTATGCGTATGAATGATACAAAATGCATAATTAAAAAAATTCACAATGCTCACAAAGTAATTTATGTTCTGTTTTTCTTTTTTTCCAGGAATAGGAATCGATGATACTTTTGTCATGTTGGCGGCTTGGAGAAGGACAAGTATTACCAAACCGGTACCCGAAAGAATGGCAGCAACACTGAGTGAGGCTGCCGTTTCTATTACCATTACATCTTTAACGGACATGATATCTTTCTTCATCGGCATTCTCTCGCCCTTCCCTTCGGTGCAGATTTTCTGCATTTATTCAGGTATCAAAAACTCGAAATAACTCAGATTGCAATTCTTTACACGAAAAAATTACGATAAAAGCTAACGAGAAAAGAAAGCTAGTAAAATAACAATAAAAGAGCGAAGCAAAATTTTACAATATCCTATAAAATTTCTTAAGATACGCGTATTTTGACATAATAACGTGATTTACGTTTTTAATATCAAATATGCGTTAAATCCTAGGTTTTGCGGTAGTTTTCACCTTCCTGTTCCATCTAAGTTTCTTCAGTGGATGCGTCGCGATCAGCGGTTATTGCGAACGAAAAAATCTGCACAGTGTAGTGTGTTGCAAGGTGGAGCCTTTATCTAAATCGAGTAAGTATTGGAGAACTTTATCTATAAACTAATAACACTCTTAATTTGTCTTACCTAACTATTGTACGTTAATTTTTTTACAAGATCAATTTATATATAATAATAATTTTTATACTATATTTAATAATTTATAGTTTATCAATTTCCAGTTGATAAATTTCAATTTACCTGAGTTACTATATAAACTAATTAACTTAGGAATCAATGTTTTCTATTACTACGTTGTTCGTCATGATTCAAATACCACCGTTCGAAATCTCATTATGCCTGCATGACGTATTGAAGTTATATCAACAAACCGACACGCGTTACGTTTGGATACCGTTAATTCGTTAGATCACACACGTTAACGTACACATTACGTAATGGAAAAAGTTTGCTTTCTCCTTATTTCATCTTCCTAAATATTATAACATCAACTATTGCAAAATGCCGATAAGATTCATAAAATTTCTACCTTTTTCACCAGTTATAAAATATTATTCCACAATTACTTGATAAGAATTCAAATAAATCGACAGGAATAGAAATAAGAAAACATATATTGAACAATAGCAGCTCCAATGCTTCATTTTTCATTCTTGAGAACTATTTGCAAAATTAATGTTTCTATTAATTCAATTTAACGTATCTATATTTTGTAAAATGTACTGTTACAAATGTAATGTTGTCGTAATCATATATAATGTGTGACAGTTTTACTCTGCATTTAATGATGTTTTTTAACATGACATTTTAGCTCATCGATCGTGGCTCTACAGAGTATTTTGCTCCGGTGGAATTGATCCTGACGACCCTCACAATCCAATCGACAACCCTGAACACGGATGTATGACTTGGTTCCGCGATTATTTGGCGGCCGCGTTAAATTGTCGCCCAGTGAAAGCAGTTATCATTGTCGTTTTTGTGTGCTACCTTCTCGGCGCCCTTTATGGCCTGACAACCCTTAAGGAAGGCTTGGATCGACGCAAGCTTTCCAAAGAAGATTCCTATTCGATCGCTTTCTACGACCGCGAGGACTTTTACTTCAGAGAGTTTCCTTACAGGATACAGGTGAGTTGCAAATTTTTAATAAAAGAATTTAGGAAATCGCGAAACAATTGAGACACTTTTCAATCTTTTCACGATACGTGAAAATTTTCTAAGCTTTTCAGTCCATTGTCATATTTTATTTACTTAAATAATTAAGAACTTACAGAAATGCTACAAAAAAGAAATAATATGATTTTCAGTATGACGTAAAAGCGCATACATAACAAATAAGTCTTAATTTATGTTCCAACACTTCGAATGTCAGTTATCTTTATTGACTATGCAAACTACTGGCTATGTAAAGTAATACGTTTTTTTTTTTTACGATTGCATCGACATTCCATAGAATTGCGAAAACCCTCTCGATACACACGTTGATTTAGAGTGTTCCGGTTTTCGTTCAAGTAAACTCGATGAAATATTTCTCTGTAAACGGCGTAAAAAAAGAAACATTGAAGTCGGAAGAACGGAGTGCGTTACGCTCGGAACCGCCACGCATAATCCGGTACGCGCAATTATGTCACGTGCTCCCCTCGATACAACGATATCGTGCAAACAACTTTCTCCAGCTGGCCAGCGCGAAAGTAACATCCGTTACATCACGCTCCTCCGAGTCGATCAACTGACAAGAAAGAACAACTAAAAGAAAGATTCTCAGACCGCATGTAAATCCTTAATCGCTCATCTAAGAGCGGTGGCTCTCGACTTCATGTAATTTTCATTCCGACAAACGTCGCATTTCTGAGCGTGTCTTGTTGTCCAATTTTATTTTTAACATATTACGATATTCTCCGTCTCGTTTTTTTTGCAACTTCTGACAGTAGATAATTGCATATTTCGTAACGACTGTATCGTCGCAAGCGAATTCAATGCTGCACGCGTTTCTTTGCGCCGCGCGTTTCTTTGCGCGGCATTGAGGTTTTTCGTCGATGAAGCAAAGTCATAAGCGCAGCGAGATGTGGCCGAAGTGAGAATTTCACTGGGATCTTTTTTCCCCTCTTACCTCAGCCCGATACATTGTAGTGAAAGTACGTTTCTCAAAGATGGTCTCGCACTATCGCGTTTCCTCGCGATATTAATAACATCTCGACGTCACGAATCGTCGTGTACCGATGATTACGCGGAAACGTCATTCATCAAGAAACCACTGTCACGGTGAACTCTTGATGAGTTTAGATCTCGTAATTAGGCCCACATGTGAGATGTTTATGTCAGAATGTCAGCGCGCCGGGATTGAGTAAATTGCATAATCGTGACGAAATGTGACGTTGCGTTTCTTCAATCCGGGAGGAAGCCGGACGTTGAGGTACGCTTTCTCGAAATTACTTTCACAACGATATCGCAGGAATTCCCAAAACGATACTTACGTAATACTTTCTGCTCAGAGTAGGCGGACTTATCATTAAGTTTGAGAAAATTAGAATCATTCTTTGCTAAATTTGCAAAAAATGGTATTAAAAAATAATGCATCGTTTATCCTGAAATATTCTACTTAATTAAAGACATCTTGAAAGATGTTTAAGTTGCTTTACTAAAATTATTCTTTTATGCGCATTATTATAGATTCTCAATTTTAAAATAAAAAAAATTGTGTGATTTTTTAGGTGATTATAAGCGGCGAGTATGACTATAGCAATCCAGTGATTCAAGAGCAAGTGGAGAATCTGATGAAAAGCCTCGAGGCGAGCAAGTACATCAGCGCGCCGGTCTACAGCGAGAGCTGGCTGCGCAGTTTTCTCAGCTATGTGTCGGATAATGAAGATTACTTGAACGTGACTATCGATGATGAGAGTAGCTTCAATGAGGCCCTCAAGGCTTACTGGCTGTACCCGATCACCTCCAACACTTTGGATGTCAAGTTCGACGATGCGAACGAGAAAATTATAGCGAGCCGATTCCTGATACAAGCGGTGAACGTGAGCGGCACGAACCAGGAAAAGGACATGGTGAAAGAGCTGCGCGGCATCTGCAAGGCGTCACCGCTGAACGCGAGCGTGTTTCATCCTTACTTCGTGTTCTTCGACCAATTCGAGCTGGTCCGGCCGACCAGCATCCAGTGCATGATCTTCGGCGCGCTCGTCATGATGCTGATCAGCTTCATCTTCATCCCCAACGTGTTTTGCTGCCTGTGGGTCGCCTTCTGCATCGTGTCGATCGAGCTGGGGGTGGCCGGCTACATGGCGCTGTGGGACGTGAATCTCGACAGCATCTCCATGATCAATCTTATCATGTGCATCGGCTTCAGCGTCGACTTCACGGCGCACATCTGCTACGCGTATATGAGATCGAAGCGATCGCGGCCGGAGGACCGGGTCAAGGACAGCCTGTACAGTTTAGGTCTGCCGATAGTTCAAGGCGCGGCGTCGACAATACTCGGTCTGATGGCGCTCCTGCTGGCCGGCACCTACATTTTCATGGTGTTCTTCAAGATGGTCTTCCTCGTGATCTTCATCGGCGCCATGCACGGTATGTTCTTGCTGCCGGTGTTGCTGTCCCTCTTCGGGCCCGGCGCCTGTAGCGGCGGCCACGACGAGCCGGAGGAGACGGAAAATTCAAAGAACGGCGCGCAGGAGAAGGAGCTGCCGAGCAAGCTTCAGCAGCCCTACGTGATCCCGCATCCCCATCTAGTCTACTACACCGCGAACGCCGTCAAGCCGCTCCAGGACAGTCCGGCGATGAGCATGGCGGCATTCGAGGAGCGGGATCCAGGCCTGGGCACCAGCGAGGACAGCAACTCGACGGAGAGCGGCTCCTCGCAGAGCAGACGGCGCCAGTGCAAGCAGGATCAGCAAGACCAGCCGAGCCAGATCCGTCACGATATGTGGAGGAGGTCCGTCGGTGTTCTGTACGGCCTGTCGCAGTTCCAATCTGCGATCGGCGAACCAGCGCACCCGGCGCCGGATTATCCTGGCGCTGTGGCGCAAGCCCGAGAACCGCTCGGCGAGGACAATAATAATCCGCGAAAAACGGTGCCTTATCTGGGACCTCACGTCGCACGTCACCACTTGAATCACTTTCCGCAGAACTGTAGACGTAGCAAATCCTACCACAATCTGCAGTATTCTGCACCCGCGCGGCATTTAACGGATCCCCGATACCCTTAGAGATGAGATCGCGAAGTATAGCGTGAAAAAAAAAAAGATTTCGACCCTATGAGCGAGACGAGAAATCCCTCTGTCGATTTCAGCCTCTTGAAACGAGATGATAATAACTGACTTAAGACATTTTTGCGAGAAAAGATCTGTCACTTGAATTTTTCGCGAAAAAGAGTCGAAAGATATGGCATTTCAAAATCTTGATATATGTTTCATTGAAAATATTCTAGTGACAAAAGAAGAACGATAATTTATATCGGCACGTACGACAATTTTAAACCATGACAATACGAAGGAAAGAGAAGCAAGAAGAAAAAACCGTATTTCGCAAGATTAGAATGTCTGAGTTACAATTTATCGGTACGAAGGGGCTGAATTTCAGGTCAGGATCAAGTCAGGAGAGTTAAATCCTCTCAGCGGGACGCTTGACAGTCCCACAGAGGGTGGCAATATAAAATATGACGCTTGGGTCTATTTGGATCTTGTATAGTGAAGTCTTTTTATACATTTATATCAAACTTTTTTTCATAAATTTTAGTTTTATATATATCTTCTTTTTTACTGTCTGTATGATAAAAAAATATGGAAGTAAAGAAATAAACAAGCAAACAAATATCTAACGATTGAATTAGAAATATGAAAAATAAAGTAAAGGATACTTTGGGGCATAAATATACAATATATATATATATTTATGTCTCTAAAATACAAAAAATATTAATCTTATATATAGATTTGGATCCGAACAGACCCATGCGCCGCTAAATAAGGATTAATGATCTTGAAGACTTTTTGTATAGTAATGCTTACTACGAAGTAGTGGTGAATTTCAACGACGTTAAAGTTGTGTGTCGCTACATTTGTAAGTATGTTATGTACGATATCAATGATTCTTGCATATCACTTGCAGAACAGTTATTGTATACAGGGTGTCTCGAGAGAGAGAGAGATGTGTATCAATAGCAGGAACATTTAGCGACTCCGTATTCCCTTCAAAGAAACGTCACTATAGTTAAAGTTATGATTAAAAAAGAAGGAATCTAGATTCTCAAATATTTAGAGATTTATCAGTTTTTTACATTTCTGAGTTCTAATTGTTATGTTTAAATGCTCAAAGCCGTACCGTTATCGCATATTTGGCACAAAGTATAATCATTTGATGATCTTTTATTTATCTAACAAAATAAACACAAAACGACGATTAAATATAATTGAAGATACGGACCTAACACCAAGAGCCACAAATTTGTAAATTGTTTGAAGTCGATTCTTACATCACTAGATCCTAAAGCAATGATTTGCTAAATTGTTTTCCTCCTCTGTCATAGATACCAAATTTTATGTTAGCATATTAGCGAAGTACCCTTCGCAGTCAAAGGGTTAATTGTAGCATTTGTGTTATGCAATGTCCTTTGCGTGAGAACAATGCACTTATTCGAGCTGATAGCGCCTGAATGGCGACTCCTCGTTCGGGTTAATATTAGTCGTTAAGATTAGCTCAAAAAAAATCATATAAGATAATATAATGTGCTCAATATCAATCAAAAGCAAAACGTCCCGCAATATATCAGTTAAGATATTCTGATCGACGTACAAATTATTCACGTCGAACAATACGTGCCTTAAACAAGAGATGCTACAGACGTAGCAGTTTGTCGTACAATTCAATTTGTCAAGTAGAAAAAAAGCTTTTTTCCTACTTTCCAAACTTTCTTCGCTTAAAAAAATGTATGCATTTTTTTTAAATTAAAATACTTAATAAAAAATGATTTATTTCAAGGTTTTCTTAGATTTTAAATTTTAACTATCACTTTGTATAGACAATTTCAACATCACTGTAATTATCATTGGATAATGTGTATTATTTGATCAAAGTCAAAGTGATCTATATAAAGAGTGAGCTAAGTGAAGATAGTTAAACAAGACCTCAAACATTATTAGTGAAGCGAATGCACGCTTCATAATCCGAGCGACAAATCTGTACGGGAATAAATGACCTAATATTTAACAAATTGTTATATTTCCCTCTAAATTTAAAAAATCGATGATAGTGCAAAATTATCATTCCTTGCCGCAACACTTTAAAATCATTGCTATATTTACGAATATAGGAACAAAATTATTGCGACAATCAGTTTGATAGATATAAAAATCAAGAGTGACTCGTAATTTAAGAAATTTTTTAGCTTATACCACGCTTCGTACCACGTGTTGTATGATTTATGGTATTTTTTACGAAGGATTCAAGAACATCTTTCTTATGAATTCATTCGTCAAATAAATTGTTTATCATGTTACGGAAATGTTCGAAAACGAAGTACGACAATATGTGTCTTAAGGCGGAATAATAATAAGTACAGGCGAATATATCTAAAGAAGCGATCATGTGTACAGATGGACTTCCTCACTTTGCGATTTTCAATGCGTGCGTGTGTTTCCATATTTATGAATGCGAGAGAGGATATGAACTAAGCGATATTGTTAGCTGATGGCAGACACGATGTTGCCATTAAAAAGAACAATTAATGTAAGAAATATATTCTAGCAATGATCTTTTAGATCTGTTGATATGTTTCTCTCTCTTTTCAATCTTTCTATCCTTCGAATATAGAATCTATTATTGCACAGTTAAAATTATTATTTATTCATTATTTATAATAACGACCAAAAGTTATTCAAGTATTATGAATTTTAAAGACTCAAATAGTTTTAAAATGCATCTATATATACACAAAAGTATATGCATATAATAATTTTTAACGATAAAAATATTCAACAATATAAAAATCGGAAATTTATGTATTTATACGATAATATATTTAACAATTAAGATATTATATTGAGATTAATTTAAATTTTTACTTATTAACATCATTTTTATCATTTTTTGATTATTTATATTTGTATATTAATATTTTATATTGAAATTTTTATATATTTAACCAGAGAGCATAGAATAATATTAATTAAGATAAAATTCACAATTATGGTACAATTGTACATATTGCAGTGCAGTACAAACCTTAGTAAAAAAACGTGCTCATTTTCCTTGTAATCTCTATTTGTCTCCATTTCAGCAAACTGCAGTTGCAGAATCATCGCCTGCTTTTTCCAACAATTTATACAGGAAATTCGCAACGACGCTAATACCTTCTTTTTTGATCCGCTTACAATTCATAATAACAACTCGGCAAGCTCTCGGTTATCTCGGGTTCATCACTAATAATGATATAATTTTCTGCCAAAATTAAAAAATAATTACTACAAAATGTTATGTTCTATCGTTCCTAAAAATATAATAAACATAATATTTCCTTTAACTTCCATAAAATATAAATACTCGCTCTTTTAAGACAACTACGCATGTCCAGTAAAAAATACATATATGTTTGTCTAGCTAAAAAAATACTCTCGTCATGTATTACATCTCGTCATATAAATCAGCATTCACCAACTAAATTACAATTTCGCAGATCTACTATTTAGTTTAACATTCTTAGTTAATAATAAATAAAACGTATAACAAAAAATATATTCATACCAGCTGAGAGAAGACTGAGAGTGGACATGCCCGCATTTTACGTGTTTCCGTGGGTTAGCGCCTCTATGTGCACAAAACGTGCACATTGAACTACGTAGCCAATGTCCACGAAACCCGTAGGCAATGTCCACGATCTTTTGGGTCTCTTCCGTGCTACGTCCACGACTTTTTGGTTTCGATATGTGCTATATCTACAAAGTGTCGGTAATGCATACTTGTAAAACATGATCATGTATATCAATCAGATTTAAAATATAAATACACACGTATTGTAAATACATGTATTGTAGCATTTACTTTTGCATTTACAGTTTATTTAGCTAAAGATCAGTTATTTTCAATAACCTGTAATTTGAAAATGTACATTTAAATTATTTTAATAAATTACTTCTATAATTTTGTGTGCGTGTGCGCGCGCGCGCGCGCGTGCATACAAGTGTGCAAATTGTGTACCACACAAAGTTTCATTTAACAATTAAGTTTTAAAATTTAATTCTATATTTTTAACACTACACATACACAAAATTTGGTATGCTTGTTCTGGAAGACTTTAATTTCTTCTAAAACAAATATTGAATATCAATTGAGAAAAACCGTGTCATAAAACTTGAAACTATATTGGTCGCATCGAATACTTGTTTATTTTTTAAAATATGACTGTCCTAAAAATTACCCTTTTTAAAAATTGTGTATTTACCAATCCTTTATAAATCAGATATTGTTAAAAATTATTTTAAGAATATCTTATTTATAAAAGATTGGTAAATAAAAATATGCAACAAAAATGAATGAAATAATGAGACAACAAAGGACTTTTTGAAATTTTTTAATTTGGAAATACATAATTTGCAGTTCAATATAACAGAATCGTAAAAAAAATTTGAAACATTGTGGTTTATAATTACAGAAAAACAGGTCATAACAATTCTTTACACGTTTTCGCGTCACAAAATTATTCGCTCACGTTACCGACAAACCGACTAAAACAAATGCAGTCTACAAACTTCGATGGGTATTTGTTTCTGATTGTTGCTTAAGATAGTCAGTATAACATAGAAAAGCATTCAGTAAGCATCGATTTCCATTTATAACTTCTCGTTTCAATAAACCATTATCATGGGCAGAAAAAGCAAAGAAACAAATCTAGAAGTTAGAAAATTAATTATTTTTTATTGGAAAAATGGTAAATCTTTAAGAGAAATTGAAAGTATTGTTTGCAAAAGTTATTCGACGGTGCAATATGTTATTAAACGATACGACAAATTAAGAAAAATTCGTGGACGTAGCACGGAAGAGATCCAAAAGATCGTGGACATTGCCTACGGGTTTCGTGGACATTGGCTACGTAGTTCAATGTGCACGTTTTGTGCACATAGAGGCGCTAACCCACGGAACACGTAAAATGCGGGCATGTCCACTCTCAGGCCGGTATTCATAGGCCGGTATTCATAGTCCGTTCTTATATTCAAGATCGTCTTAAGCACGAACTTATATTCGCTCTCTTCGTCAGACACAATCTATGTTTGACGAAGAGAGCGAATATAAGTCCGTGCTTAAGACGATTTTGAATATAAGAAGGGACTATGAATACCGCCCATAGTCCGTTCTTATATTCAAGATCGTCTCAAATACGAACTTTTATTCGCTCTCTTTGTCACACATAGATTGTGTCTGACGAAGAGAGCGAATATAAGTCTGTACTTAAGACAATCTTGAATATAAGAACGGACTATGAATACCGGCCTCAGTCTTCTCTCTGGTAATACGCGGATTTTTTATAGGGTTAATTTCCTTCAGATTGTCAACACTGATCGACAGTGCTGTTTTCATTTTGCTACATTGCTGCCATGCTGCAAAGTATTTCAAGACGAATGTCACGTTATATGGTAATGTCTGATTAATTTAGGTTAATTTAAACATAAACAAAAATTTGGTGAAAGATTTATTTAACATATAAATTATACGATGTCAGCAACTAAGAAGTTATTGTCTAAAAAACAAAAACTCAAACAAATGAGGTAAGTTTAATTTTTTGTATTAAAACAAATATTGTGAATCTTTTTATATAAATAATATTTTTGTTTAAGTAAAATGCAAATACAGCTAAGCATAATCAAGAAAAAACAATGTGATGCAAAGGCTCTTGCAATAGTGGAACAGCTCTTAGAACCAAATGTGAGCATTGACTGGCTTCTCCAAAATGTGAGTATATTGACATATATTTCTGTATATTGATGCAACAATAATTTGTTACTATAATGATGTTTATTAATTTTATAGTTAGGATTTATTAGTAAGAGTCACATGGAAGATGTAATAGAGGAAAGAGCAATAGTAAAGCTATGTGGTTATGTTCTGTGTTCAAAACCATTGACTGTTATTATTCAACAACAATATCACATATCTACACGTAAAAACAAGGTATATGATGTCAGCAAACGGAAAAACTTTTGCAGTTCATCATGTTATGGAGCAGCCAATTACCTTCTTGAACAAATGTTGGAGAGTCCATTGTGGTTGAGAGAGAAAGATGATATACCAGTTTTTCAAATTTTGCCTATAAATCTGAGGTCTACACAAATCATACCTGGAGATGAAATTGATGTTTCTGGAATAAATCTTGTACAAAATAAAAATGCTGATGGTATTGAGGACAATAAAGAATCTGTAGAACATAGCACAGCCAAATACATGAAACAAGATATATCAAATTCTAAGGAAAAGGATATACACAATGATACAATTACAAAAAACAATGTAGAATTGGAAGAGATTTCTATAAATATTGACTCAGATAGATTGTTCAACAATAAAACGCATTCATCAGAACAATCTGAGAAAGAAGAAAATAAAACCTGTGATAATCAAGAATCCATTAATCATAAAAATAGTGATAATATTCAGAAAATAAATGCAAATTTAAAGAATTTAGAAATAGAAGATCAATCTAAAGGTATTCTATATGAAGATAATACAGATGCAAAGAATAAAAATACAAATGCAAGTATCATGTGCAACATTGAAAACAGTAAAATGTTGCAGTCCCGTTCGGATAAATTAGAAAACAATCAAAATAATAGTAGTAAATTATTACAGTCTCAGTTTAATAAAATAACAGATGATCAAAATACTGATAAAAAGTCACAATTAGAAGGAATAAATAACGAAAATAAAAATAAAAAATTAGATAATATTGAAGGAGTAACACAACCCCAGTTAGATGAGATGTGTAGTAGTAATGCTACTTCTTCTGTATCTGGTAAAAAAATTGGAAAAAAGAGAGATGCAAATAGAAGTATTAAAAATAAGTGTCTGACACAGAAAGAATCTGACAATGCAGAAATGCAAGCTAATATCTACCATAAAGTTGCAATGCGTATTGAACAGAGTGTTAAAGAATGGATTACAGAAAATACACTTTGTCTTTTATTGGGTGAGGAGGATGAAAAGTATCAATTATTAGAGAGTCTTACGCGGCATGACAGGTATCAACAGTTGTGTAAAAAATTAAATAGATTGCAATTAGAAGATGAAAAGGAGGATCGTGTCAATTTGGAGAAAAATGTACTCAAACCTTTGCCTCATTTTTCTGTGATCCAAGAAGAAGCCAAGAAAATAGAATTAAAGGTACAAAGAATCTTAATATCAGAAATAAGATGTGTTAACTAATCGATTCTAACTAATCAATGATTGCAGGTGCGTGCATTTTACGAAGGACAAGTAACAATTACACCATCTGAGGATAGTAACAAAGATTCAGAAAATAAAGATGATAGTGATCTTATATTACCATTGACAGATTCTCATGCGCCTAATGCACTTCGTCGTCGAATCTTCTTGGACAAGGTTAATAAAATGTAAGTGCCATCACTTTTAGCAATATAATAATTAAAAATTGGCTATTGAAGAAGTCTTCTAATATTTGAGTCCAAATTATTATTACTTAGCAAATTATTTGTCATTTACAGATTGCCAGATTTGCTGCGAGCTTTAACAGCTGATACGAGTGCTTCTTTAATAGCGCAGTGTACTTATAATAACGAGAGGTATTCGTTAACCAAAATCTTGATTAGCACTTTTAATTTGACTGCTGCAAACATTGTTTTCAAGACTGCCGAATGGACACTCGTAGGACTCATTATTATTAAAATGTAAGTTTAATCGTAAACAAAGTAAACTAATGTAAATATAAGGTTTAAAAGTATACATGATTTCAGGTTAAGCTTAATCGACACACAATTGCAATCATTGCTTCGCTCTAAACAAGCTACAATGTACACATCAATGATTCTCATGTCATACAAATTGGACTCCAATTATTTAGACAGACTTATAATGGAAGTAACAAACAATATGGATGCATGTGATGTAAATAATAAATAATATTAAAATTGTTCAGCGCAATTTTATAAATATATATAAATTATTTGCATAATTCTAACTTTATTATCCGTATTCCCGATATAAAATATTCCAAAGTACAATTAGTTACTGTAATATGTATGTATTAATACATAATAATTCTGATCTTATTACAACAAATTTTATAATTACTTTAGCAATACTTACTTACATCGTATATTTCACTAAAAATAACTAACTTTAAAAATTTGGAAGTCCATATATATATGGACATAAGATAAAAGACTAAAAAATCCAAAAGATTCAGAACGACGATAATTCACATTACAGTGAGACTCTTCCTTGTGCTAAATTAAAGAAGCTCAACTGTTTCCTTTCGATCTCCTCAAGATAGATGTCCCTAGAGTGGGCAAGTGCTTGATGTCGGTGTTCCGGTAAATGTAGGAGAACAATCGAGATCTACGTCCATTGGAGTTGTCGCTACTAATTGGTCTTCGGAAGAATGGCTGCCGACTTTAACGCGTAGAGACTCATATAAAGTGTGTACTGCTTCGTTATGCTGGAAATTTGAAGAATTTTTAATAATTTAATTGTATAAGAGATATATGAGTAATTTTTTACATATAATATAGATTTTAATATTGCAAAATGTTACCTGACTCGTTGGTTGCAAGGCTTTCAGTAAAGAATGTAACCGTGCGGAGGGCAATTTAGGATATATGTACCAAAGTAGTTTCAATAGATGCCGCGTAACATTATCTTTACATAAACCGGCCAAGAAAAATTCGTCAAAGATTACAGTGCAGAAGGACTCGTTGGAGAATTCATCGGCCATGTTTAGTATTAATAATGAAACCTGCAATTAAAAATTAAATTTATTTCATAAAGTTTTGCATCAAATCAATCGCGCGAGATATTAATAAATATGTTGTGGTAAGTGTCTTACCAGTGTGTGTAAAAATGGATCCTCAAAAGCTCGTTGCGCTTGACAATTCGGTAGTGTTGCTAATACTCTCATCAAACCTCTAGCATCTCCTCTGCCTCTCACAAGTCCGCTACCGCCGCTACCTCCAACATGTAACGCATAGTACATAGACAGAACTGCTGCTACTCCAGAAAGCTGAGCGTATGCTTGGCACGCATCCGGAGGTGGTCCGGAATGCTCTATAATTGCAATTGCACTTTCTCTCTCATCAGGCGGAAGTCTACAATTGAGCTGTCTTATTTGATCATCCACCTAAAAAATACAACTCCTATATTACTTATAAATCCACACATCTTTCAACAATATAAAGTTAAATTAATTCTTTAAAGAAACATTTTAATTATTTAGAAATAAAAAAATTACCATAAGTGACATAAGTGCTGGCAGAAACTTTGTAACAACTTGACTGTCCAATTTTGGCTCCTTAAAATCTTGCGAATCGATCATTTGCCAAGCGGACAATCCTAACGCGAGCATCCTCAACAGCAATACGAGTACTGAATTTTCTCTAGGTAACGTCTCACCATTTATCAGATGAAGCGCTATTTTGATCGCACTGCTAGCAAGAAAGTTCACAGCATAGGGATCGCACAAAGTCATGCTTAGATCTCCTAATACCTGCTCTTGGCCTCTCTACAAAAAAAAAGTAGATATTTATTTTCCTAACGCAAATGATCAATTAATTTTATACCTTAATGCTATCCAAAAAGCCTTGCAACTCGCGAGATCTTTTAATATCCACATTTTTTTCTCTTATACATGCATCCAGACACCAAGTAAACTTGTGACAAGGATCTACCGAAATAATATCTTGGACCTGGAAACAAAGATAAAATAATAGCTTGTTGCATATTGCTGCTTTATTAAAGAGGAATAATAAAATTTTGAAATGTACTTATTAAAATATATGTAAAATTTACCTCTAAATCGTGCAATGCCATTAGCAATTCTGCTCTTAGAGTGCAATAGTGAATATTCTTAGTGCGCAGAAACAAAGTCCTCAAAAATTGCAATACCATATCATACAATTTTACACTGTGTCCAATCATATGAGCTAACTTTTGCACAACTTCCCCTTGTCTCCTCACCTATGTAAAGCAGAAAAATTGATTAAGAAATATAGCTGATAAATTTAAATATAACTAATTACACAACCCCACATACCTTAGGAGATGGTGTAAAAAACAGACTGTTTAAATTACAATGATCAAATAAGATCTGTTCTTTTTCAATAATATAACGACTAAATAATGGCGAAACTTCATCCCCGAAAAGACTTTGATTATCTTTCCAGATTTGACGTTTAACTTCTGTATCAGCATCATTATACAGTTCTTTTTCCCTAACTAACACTCGCAAGTATTTGTCATCAATATGTGGAGTATTTCTCAAGATGCACATCACAACAGGTCGCAAGGCAGGGACTCTCACAGCGGAGAAACTTTTGGATAATAATTCTCTCAGTCTTTTATCTCCAGAGGCACCTTTATCTGTTCTTTCCACACCAATTTCATTGATTTGTTTGACCAATTTTTCCCGTAACTCATCAAGAACAGATATATGAAAATCTAGTCTTCCAACTTTATGTAAATCAAGCAGAGGTAACATAGGCCGCAGTGATGGCAATAATATACCATTTTCCAGCTGAAATAAAATAAATATTATCATTGAGATACATCCAAAAAACAAGATAACATCATATCTTCTGTGAATATCTGTGGATATATTTGATGCTATCACATTTTCTTATTGTTCACCTGAAATTCTTCGATAGCTTTCAAGGGATCCGTGCAACTCGTTAAAGCATCTCTTAAAAACACTTGTCCAGGCACGCCAAGATCGTCCAATCCATTATTACTTTGACCATTGCTCTTGACTGAATTCATGGTTTCGTTTTATTACACAACACAAAATTGCATGTGTACTTGCGTCCTGTTATCTATGTTTCATTAGAAATTGAATGTCAACTTCTTACACACATAATAAGTTTCATCATCTATATTTATTAACGAGAATTTACAAATTGCTTTTCTGTATTATAACACTGCACTATTAATCTGTATCAATTAATCTTTTCGCTACAATATAAATCATTGACTCTACTTTTACATTTCGGAATGCTTTATTTAATAATCGGTTTTGTGTAAGTCTATTAATTTATATCAATAAATTTCAATTTTTACACACCACGTTACAGAAATATATTTCTATCACGCTGTTGCACATCGTTTCATGTTTTACGTTATTAAAGCGTAGTTCAAATGTTACTGAATGGTTGAATACATGGATAAACATAGTTAACCTTTACATTCGTATCACAAACACAATATAATATAGTAGTGCAACTCACTAATGTCAGTTTGCATCCAATAAGAGAATGCATTTACTAGGAACTTTTAACCAAAAACGATTTTGTCCTGATATCCCTATTCGTATTATGCATCTGATTGGTAATTTTTTACTCGTCTAATTATACAAATTTGTACATAGCCCTAGAATTACTGAACATTTTCGGTCAAGCAAATTGCATCTAGATGCATTCATGTATTATGACTGATGGCCATATAACCGTTTGACATTTGTAAAAATATGGCCATTTAATGTATATAAAATAATGTTTGGACAATGTATTGTAGAAAATTTATAAAATATACATATAAAAGAAGGTATTTTTATTATGTTCTATTATTATATACAACAATTTTAATTTTACATAATCTTATAACAAAATTTGTTATAATAAGATTCCGTGACAAAATTAGTAGAATAAATATTTCCTTCTATATGTAGAAAAAATATATTATTTCTATAAAATAAATAATAATTTTATAACAAGAAATAATTTCTAAATAATAATTATTTTTACGCAAAATAAATATCTATATAGCGTTTTAATTTTTTTAAATATTTTTTTTTATAATGATAGTGGTTTACAACATTGTTACTTATTCATACATATGATATTCACAATAATTTGAATATAAAATGATAGAATTTGTGCGAAATGCAAAATCGATTTAGGCAGGTCGTTGCCTGTGTCACGAAATCAGGCTAAGGTGATAAAGGTGAAAGGTCAAAGGTAACGGGCTAGCACGGATATCGACTCGGGTGAGATCGAGAGGGCGAGGTAACCCGGTTACAGTTGGGGTGGTGGATAGGCGCGAAAGCAGGTTGTCCTAGAATTCGACTTTGGCGTTTTGCACAAGCGCGTTTAATACCCTTTGCCTAAAGGGACTCTGCCTAAATGATATGAAATGGATCGAATCCAATCTCAAATACAAAGTAAATCTCCTTGAAGATAATAATAAAGATAATGAGAATATTTTTACAGGATGAAATAAACAATTACAATCAAAATTTACATGCAAAATATATTTCAAAGTTTTGTATTATTTTGGAAAACTGTAAATTTCATCAATATATACAATATCGCTATAAAAACATATGTACTAGCATTAATTTTAAGCAATGATATAAAATTACGAATATAATGCTTTTTGTTAATAATAAGACTGTTTCATAAGATGATATTTTCTAAGTAATATAGTATTTCTCTCCTACTCAAATGTCATTTAATATAGCACTCCTTTACAGATATGGTACTTCTGCAGGAGTGCGGTGAAAGTGACAGGTCAGCTGCAGTTATGTTCGCACCTCTCACACCCCTGCCTAGATTCAACCCTGCGCATAGGGTTGCTACTGCGCACGCGACCACCGGAGGGTGAAACAGGACAGGGCGAAAATGGAAGAAGGAAGAAAGAGAAAGGGCGAGAGGGAGCCGCGCGTGCAGTGCGGCTGTCTGCGGCTGTTAGTCGGTGCTCGCGGGTGGTCGCACGCACGCTCGGGGGTGACGGGTGCGCCTACATTCGCGAGGAGGGCGATGGAGGCTACGTGCGCCTCGCTGGCGATTAAAGTGAGACGCGCCATTCGTTGAGTCGCCCTCGCCGTCACCGTCGCGTTCGTGTTCCGCATCGTCCGTGGAAAACTGTGCACGGACAGACGGAGCGGCGCGAAAAGACGGAATTCCTAGCGAACAACGGGGCGACAAAATGTCGACGTACCACTATTTATCGTGAACGAGTGGAGGGAACAAGGGAGAGAGAGAGAGAGAGAGAGAGAGAAAGAGGGAGAGGGAGATAGAGAGAGAAAGAGAAAAGGGGGTTGAACACACGGTGGCGATATCTCTCTTGAATTGTTGGTACGCGCAGTTGTTTTTGGTGTTGTTGGCTGGCTTGATGCCTGTTTCTTGTTTTGTTTGCTACATATATTGCTGTTGCTGCCGCCGTTGAAGCCGCCGTTCGCTGCTGCAGCGGTCGCTAGCGATCGAATTTAAGAAAGAGAAAAGATATGATCGAGCGTAGCCTTTTCGTTGTCTCGTCGTTGTCATCGTTGTCTTCGTTGTCCTTAGATTTCCCCGATACCCATATTTTTTCCTCCACCCTTCCCCCCTAAAAAAAGAGAGGAAAATAATTTACATACCCGTCGTGAGAGAACGATGCGAAAAAGAGTGAATTACATGACGTGCCAGGGGGCCACCAGTCAGCCTGTTAACTTCTTTTTTTTTTATCACAAGTAGATGACGTATCAATCACTTCTCTTCTGATACTTCTTGCGTGTCGTGTTCGTTATGGACTCTCTTGGTCCCGCGAATGTCCGTGGGCTTTCTTGTTTATATATCTTCGCACACGCACGTACCGTCGCATGCATGTTATCTATTCGCTGGGCACTAACGCTTTTCATCCCACTCATCCATCATAGATTTTTGCGGACTGTCGCATCGACAGACGAATTCTTTGGAGAACATTTTTAATTCTTCAAGCCTAAAGAAAGTTGGCCTCCAGTATATATAATTCATGGCCTATTTTATCAACGTCGGTTAACTTCAACCGTGCTATTCATTATTCATTAGAAGGCGGAGCCAGAAGGAAAAAGAAATAATGCATTGATTGTGTCAATTAATGATGTCTCTGGTTTTAGAAATAGAGAAGGAATTCATTGCATTTGGTATTATGATAAGTCTAGACTTCTCATTAAATTAATTTAATAATTAAAAATCTAGATTTTTTTTCTAAGTTATTATTAATACAAAATCTGAAGAGAAGAAGAGATAAAAAATCAGTAAAAGTACTTTTGAAGTTAATGGACGTTGTGTTAGCCATAAGAGATCAAAGTAACTCTGAAGAAAATTCGCATATTTTACACTTGGTCTGTGCAATTTATTTCACCAACACTTTTCTCATTGCCTTTTCCTCGCAATGGACGCTTGCAATGTGTAGTCGAGCACTTTGATATAAACATGCATATATAGAAATTACTTTCAGCTTTTTTCTTATCACAAATTATTAATGACACAACGATTGAATTATCACAACTTTTTAGCTACGCTTGAAAAAAATTGTGACAGATCTATAAACACAAAGTAAAATTAATTTCTTTTAAATAAGCCGTATGTTTTTGATCGCATGGATTAGTGGTTTTGTAAATAAATTAAAGCCAGGTTTAAAAAATAATTTTTATTTCAAGAAGAGAAAATATCGAACTTTTTCGTATTGCGTGATTGCCATTTTATCTTGTCTTAAATAATAATATATGATAATGCAAAATTATCTTCAGATCACTTTTCATGCTAGCGGTAATGTGACACTGCACTGAATTATCACGTCGCTTAAATCGAGCATTTCAAATTACTTTAAATAATTTAATCTAAAATATATCATTAACGCTTATAGAAAATTGAATTAAATTTTCAACTCATGAAAAATTCTTACACACACACATATACACACACACGTGACTGTGTACAGAGAACATTGTTACGTTAGAACTATAGCAATTAGACGTAAATATCGCAACTTTCCTTGCCTTGCTTCTAGAAATTAGGAGAGAATGATAGCAGAGCAAGACATTCCGACGTGCCTTTATACAGAAATTATGTTCGGGAAAATTCGAACCGGTTAGTACTGTTGTTTGTTTACTGTAAAAACATACACTTCACTGATATCTCCGATATCTTTTCAGACTTTTAAATATGTTTTCTCTGATAACACAGAAATGAATTGCTCGCTGCATATATTGTAGTATTCATACTTGCCTTTCGAATATTCAGCGAACGCATAAGCGAAGTGCTTTAGCATTCTGTACGAATCGATACAAAAGTATATGAACTATACGATCTTAATCTTACTTGAATCAAAAGTGAATTTTATTCCAATTGCTTTGCATTTGAAAACCAACTTGGCGACTTGATCCACATTCACAGCGTACGCGAGTAATTAATGCGTTATGCGTTTGCTGATTAGCAACGACTCGGCTCAACGTAAAAACGACTGCAATTGCTTTCGACGTGCTTGCCGCGTAGCGATTTAGAGACGTGGATCATAACGACGGGCGTCACAACGGGTGGAGCTCCGTCACGTTTCTTGCCTTTCCAGAAAGGGGCAAGAGAGAAAGAGTGAAACGCACGAGGGAAAAATAAGGGGGAGAGGGCGGAAGAGAAAGAGAACTCTTTCGGACGAGAGAGCAAAGGGGCGGGCGACATGAAACCGAACGAGCATCAGCACCATGCGACGCGAACGTAACTCGTAACCGGAAGAAAGGCCAGCGGCAGGAGGGGCTGCTTTGAGACGAGCAGAGAAAAGGCCCGGCGAGCCGCGGAGCGATGTATGCCGCGGCGGGTGGTGCTAGCATCGCCAATCGGAGGAAGCAGAAGCGGCTGCAGCTCAACAAGCAGACGCCGGTCAACGTCGTCCCACCAAGACTGAAGGGCGTACCGGCCTGGCTCGCGCCAGCAGCAGCAGCAGCACCAGCATCATCACCACCAGCACCAGCACCAGCACCACCACCAGTTCCATCACCATCACCAGCACCAACATAATCATCACCACCATCACCATCATCACCCGACCAAGTTCGCCACCCGTCCGCACCAAGTTGCATCCGCGTCGCAAGCCCCGCGAGCGCATCCGCAGGCGCCGACGTCGACGTCGTCGTCGTCCGCCGCGTTCCACTCGGCCATCGACGATCGGCGCCGTCGCGCCGACCACCGCAAGTCCCAGCAGGTCGTGCCGGTCTCGCCGATCCAGTTCCCGATCTCACCGCCCCCGCTCTCCCTCGAGTCCTCGGCGTCCGCCACCACCTGCCCGCCGGCCAGCAAGCCCAGCAACTTTCCCTTCCCGCCGCCCTCGATCCTCGATCTCCGAGTCTCGCCTCCTACGTCGGAGCTACAGGTGGGTAACATCGTCGAGCGGTCTCTCATCATCACCAGGCCCTCTTCCCGGGCCAACGCTGTTTCTTAGTTCACGCTCTCTCTATCTTTCGCCCAAATCACGCACTTTCCACCTTCGACCTTTCACCTTTTTACTCACGGTGTGTACTTATACACACGCTCAGGTATCACGCAAACGAAGCGAGATAAGTGCGTCACGCAATGCGCGCATTAGGCGGAGAAAACTGTTGCTATCAGTTTATGACATTGCTGATAAACAATATATATAAACTCAACAAATAGAAAAATTATAATATATTCCAGTAGTCGTTGCGAGATCTTCAAAATTGTTGTAGATTAATTTCATTAGTTGAACTAAATATATAATTTATTTAAATTGCTTTTTTCAGTTTCGTCTTCAGAGCGTTTGATGAGTTCTCAGCCTGTGGATTAATCAAACAACAGCGTTTGTTTTTTTTTTTTAATTTTTCAAGCTTCCAACAAGAAGACATTTGATTCACAATTTTGTTTGGATATACGCTGACCGAATTCGATTGCATCATGCATCCGTTTTTCTCTCTGCCAAGTGCGCTCGTTGACAAATTAGACTAACGAGGATTATGAGCTCACTCTATCGCTTTAGCGCGGCTCACCCTCACTCAAGCGTATATGCTCCCTCTGGTTGCACCACATCTCTTTTTGCCGGCACCTCGTACAGCGTATAGTAAAATAGCATCGATCGGCTGTCTGGTGGCGTACAAACACGCGATAAACTTATCGAGCGGCGAAAAGAGGCGACAGATTCTCCACGCCCGAATATTTCCCGGGGCGGCTCCCCAGATCGGCACTAAAGGCTCGCAAATGTAATTTCAGTATAGCGTGTGGAAACATGCATCCGACGATTTCCATCGACGAGCAGCGATCGATGCCGATGGCAGGTAGCGCGATGTTAGATGTAGATCATTACGTCCGGTATCGATCGGTGATGGATCTTTGAAGTGGACTCTTCACGTGATCACGGGGGAAAAAAAAATAAATAAATAAGGAAGGAAAAAAAAAGAATCTAAAAACCGACAATCAGCGAGAGGGGCAAAAAAAAGGCGGGGGATTTCGACGATCGTTTAACATATGTATGAGCGGAATGCAGGCTGCTCTATTGATTAGACGAGAGAAACGACGATACCGATTACGGGGGGGTAAGGTGGTGAATTTTAGAGAATTACCTTCCAACTTCGCCACCAGACTCATTCCGCCGCTTCCACGGTATCCCCCACGATCTTACGCGTACGGGGTAAGTATCAAGAGTCACGGCCGTCGAAAAAAAAAAAAAAAAGCGATCTTAATCTCGTCGCGTGAACGCCGTAAATTAACGTCGCGCGAGTCTACCGCGAAACCAGCACCCCCAAATTACGGATTAGGGCTGACGCGAGAGTATCGATCGACGTACGGACGTCTCGTCGATCGGTATTTTCCTTGAGCGTATTGCGGCGAGACCGATCGACCGGTCTCGAAACGCGACGTGCGCGTTTAATCGCTCTTCAGGTAGACCACACTCCTCTGCTATCATTTCTGTGCCTAAATAATTTAATATCTCGTTCATTCATGTGACACAAAGGTGGACGATCAACGTTCAGAAAAAGCTGTAAAAAAAAAGTCAAGTATTTATGTTGAATTCAGTATATAAAATTTTCTCATGAGAAATTTTTGGTGCAAAATATACATGAACAAATATTTGAACAGACAATAAAATCTGCTGCAAGGGAAAACTGATTCGGTGCGCTGAGCATTATCACATTAGCAGAAAATCACGCGATTTACATTGGGCGTTCACTCATAACGATATGTCTGAGGATTGCGTATTTCAGTGCGGCGGCCAGGGACCTAGCGGTAAGGCAGCGTGGCAAGGATGCAGCAGACCCTCGCCCCTTCCCTTATCACCCATATCGCCTGGATGTCGCGGGGATGCCTACAATGCGAGGACGAAACAATGCGAGGCGCATCGGCGGTGGATGAAAAGAAACAGGGTAACTTTCCAGAAACTCACACGATATTAGAGAATTATTCAGTACGCTTTATATTTCGACGTTGTAGATACATCAGCTGATCTCTTTTGGGTACAAAATTTGTAAGATAGTCCAATAAACGAGTACTGCATCAATACTTATGTCTCTAGATCGAGAGAGCTATATATAATCTTTTTTTATAATTTTAAATGAAACTACGGTTCTGCTACATTTAATTATTGCATAGTTACAAACGAAGGCAAAATAACGCGTTCGAAAGTGAGCAGGAACGTTTTAGAATGTTCCAATCGAATCCTATGCCTAAATAATTTAATATTTCGTTCGTATGACGACAAAGGTGAACGATGAACGTTGGAAAAAGCTGTAAACAAATTTGTGAAATATGAAATGAAGTACAACGCGTTTGCTAGTCGTTGATCAGGAAGCGAGAAGTAACGCCGTACGAAAATGTGTGCTACAGATAAGAGACGCCAGTTACTGCTACGGGAGCAGCGGCGAGGACGACGAGGAAGATGACAGCAGTAACGCCATACGTCAGCGGGGAGAAGTCAGCGCGGCGGTCAACACCGTGCTCTACGTGGGTTTAGGGACCACAGCACTCGGTTTAGTTATCTCGTTCGTCGGCACCGGGGAGAAGGGCTTCCTGAGCCCGCAGCTGAGGCTGGTCGGTCCGTCGCTTTTGTGCGCCGGACTGCTGTGCTGCCTGTTCCGCGTGTTGCTGTGCCTCTGCTTGTGCCGCTGCGGACAGTGTCGCTGGCGATTCTGTCACGTCGCCTCGCAGAAGAAGGAGAAGGCGAGAAAAGCGGACACGCACCCGGGACCGGGAACGCTGCCGACCGCCTCGCTATTATCGCCGATGCAGCAGCAGGAACGACCGTGTGCCGCGCCCACGAGCCGCTCCGTGTCACCAGCGACGAAGGGACACGAGCTCCTGCTCTCACCTGCCCAATTACCAGAATGAAGGGGACGACAACGTGCTGCGCCGAACGAACGTTTTCTACGAAATGAACTCTATATGTACTATATACGCCGATTTACTGCCGGTTCTCGCCCAATTACTCGACTGTAGTTTCCATTGCGGCCTGAACCGCGAGTTCTCGCAGCCTAAAGAGTAGTCTAAAAATGCATCTTTAGAGCTTAAACAATAGAAAAATAAAGGAATCGGCTATGTTTTTCTATCCTTGTTCGAGAAAGTAACCACCACCATCGGCCAGATCTCTTTCGCAAACAATCGCCTGATTTATTTATATGCTCATACCTACAAGTTTTCTCTCCTTTACGAGAAGATCAATTTGATACGTTGCCTCGTAATCTTACAATAATCATGTCTTAATGTTAAAATTTAAGATATTCCGCCGCCCAAAGGCAAAAATCGTTTTTCTTTCTCGCGAGATTTGATCTGTATCGGCAATATGCAATTGTTTTTATCGCCTTGTTTCACAGATCACACACGTGTTTTACAATAAAAATTATATCGACATCACTTTAATTCCCAGTGATCAGGAAAGTTGAAATTGCATCTGCTCGTTGGACGAATAACTGTAGATAACAGAGCTATCGGAGGTGGTCACGCTGGATGCCGTTGCAGTAATAGCAAATAATTGATCTTCATACATGGCACCCTGCGTTTCTGTTTTACCGGCGACCGCGTTAGCGTTAGGAGGATTGTCACCTTTTGTTGTTTCGCGATACTTTTGCAGATACACTTTCAAAGGCTCAACGTAATTGTCGAAACCAAGCGTAGTCATGGCAAATAGAATGTCCTCACCATTGATAGTTTTACGCTTCTCCATGTGACACCTGTCACTCGCTTCCGACGTGATAAATGAAATGAACTCCGACACGCACTCTTGAACACATTCACGCGCATCTTTAGCTATTTTTCCACTCTCCGGAATGGCTCGCTTCATGATCTTGGCAACGTTTGCTATCGGCAGAAAACGATCTTGCTCACGAAGTGGTCCACTGCCAGTGGAAACTCCGGGGCTTTGCAGAGGATCTGCTGCACCATGATTCGAATCATCCGTGTTCTCAGGGTCATCTGTTTAAAAACACTTGTTAAGTTTTATATATTATCTTATTACTCAACAAATTTTATTTGCAATTTACTTCGCAACGATTAACAAAGGAGTAATTATGTAAATATATTACCTAAATATAAATATCAATCTTTTAATAAATATGGTTAATGTTTCTACCTTCAAATTTTAATAGCAAATTATGCAATAGTTCATAACTTTAGTAAAATTTTAGTAGAATCTTATCTCCAAGATTAACAGTTGATGGAAATTATTGATATAAACAATAAACGTAGAGATAAAAATAGAATAGAGTTAAAACGTTCGATCAAGATCATCACAATGGAAGAAACTGGAATGTAAACATGATAATTCAAGAAAATACACGCCTGCATTCGAGAGTTAACACGAAACGTGATTAAAAGCATAGCACTCTGAAATTTTTTAAAATAATATACGAACGTGTAGTAAAAATTGTTTGCTCGATCGCAATTAGCCTCGTTCTTTCGAGAGCACGCTAACCTACCTACCTTCCATATCATCCTGCACGCCAATGTAAGACGTTGGAACGGCGCTTCCTGCCAGGAAGGCCGTCGATCCCAAAGGACCACCGTCGTCTCCACTTTCACCGCTGTTTTCCATTTTCAGTGCAATACGTACTCAAAGGAAATCAAGCCCACTACTCCTTTAACCTTTCCTCAACTTTGTTTTTACGCCGCCGTAAACTATCGCTTGTATATACTCGTAAAAGATTACAACCAGTTGCTAACACTAGGAAATAATGACTGCGTTCAGAAAACTCAAAAATTATGCTCTTGAGTAAGACTTGTCTGTGACTGGTATATACTTTCAGATTTACCAATTGCATCCGTTTCACAAAAGTCTGTCGCACAACCGTTCTGTTTTCTGATTGGTCCATTTTCTTATACAAGTACATATGAATATACCCTAAAAATATGGTTTCATAATTATTGTTTCCTGAACACTATTAAAAAATTTTATTTATCTAATAAATAAATAAATAAATATACAATATATATAATAAGATTAAACGTTAGGTTGAAAAAAAAGAACATTATCAGAGATATGTATTCACATTTATTTCTTGATAAAAAATAAATCTTTATAGTTTTATACATCAAATGCATTGTGAATTGCAATGCATTGTAATACATTGCATTGTGAATAGTTCCAACAATTCAATTTCTTCAATTCCATAATTATGCAAAGAATTTTACAATTCTTTCTGATCGTTATTTTTGAATTGTGTCTCATATATATCGTTTACAGTGTCAACAACCAATTTAAACTGTACAGTTGTGATTTTTATTACATGTTGCAACGAATCTATAGCATGCTTGTGGTAATTTTTCAATGGCAAACCCAATAGCGTTTGTGCATTTTGCAAAAACGTATCCGTTTGTTGTTCGTAATGCCACGAAAGAAATACCAGTGCTACAGTGAGTAACGAGCTAATTACGAAAAACCATACGATCGCACACGTAAGAGATCGGTAAAATCCAGCACCTACATCATCGTCCAAATAAAATATAACATAATATTAAATAAATCACAAGTAAGATTCATACATAAGTCTGGTAAAAATAAAAATTTATTACCTGTAGATTTGTGTGCTTTACGTGTGCACATATTATCAGACTGTAATTCTGTTAATCTTGCATCATCGTGATCTTTATTCTCCGTTTGAGAGTCAATTTTCTTTCCATTTGTCTTGTCTCCTTTTTCTGCATTCTTTTTTCTCTTCTTTTTACTCTCCTTTTTTGTAGTTGTTACCTCTTTTTCTGTTTCATCTATGAACAAGAAAATTATCAAAATTATTGTTTCATCTATAATAGTCTTATGCAATGTATGCAATGTTTAAACAATGATTAACGCACCTGTGACATTATTCAACCTACGTAATCTTTCTTTGTCTATGTCAAGTTTAACATTAGACAGATAAGTAACAATATTGCGAGCACACGCTTGGCATTCCTGCACATTACTACATGGTCCCGCAACACTAGCTACAGCTGGAGTTAGAGGATTTTCTTTCAAGTCCAACCACCTTAAGTTCTTCAATTCACTTAAGCTCAGAGGTAATCTACTAATCTGTATGTGTAATACATATGTAATTTCTTTTGTAACATGTAGTTTCCTTTTTACACAAATGACAGTTAAAAAAATTATTTACCTTGTTAGCATATAAATCCAAATGTTTTAACTTTGTTATTTCACCAAAATTTTCAGGAAGTTCATCCAACATATTTCTGCTAAGATCCAATTTTACAATTTGTTTCAAATTGATAAAAGTAGTCTGCAAAAGACTTTATTTTAACTATGATACACATGTTTAAATGATATAGATTTGGTCAATAATAACGTACAGGTAATGAAGTCAGGAGATTGGTTGATAAATTCAGATTTGTAACTTTCCTAAGAGATGCCTAAAACATAACATTTTCAAAAATTATTTATACTGCAAAATACTCATATCTTTTGACAATCTTTATGTGTAATAATTGAATAATAAAACATTATATACATATAAGTACTATATTTATTTTCAGCCATTTAAAATACAAAAATTATGCAAAAATATTTAAATGTATGAAGATTTTATAAATAAAAATTGACAGATTTCTATTAATACATTCGTTTTATGTATATACAAATAAATAATCACTCACGATTTCTCGCACAGGCACTTCCTTCAATTCGCATAAACTAAGATCCAGAGTATCATCTTTCAGTTTATCTTTCACATCCTTTAGCTTTAATTTATTAGTCATATTTGTTACTTTCGTAAAATGTACAGAGCAAAATATAGATACGTGTTCCACGTGTTTTGTACGTTCATAGAATGTCAGATCACAATTATTGTAATAAGCGGTAACATCTGTGTACGTTGTGCAGGAAATAATTTATCTTCGCACACATATTCCAACTTTGTACACGTAAGCAAGCTACGTTGATGAACACTTGACACATGAGACCCCCAGAAAACACACGTGGGCGATGAACACAAAATATATAGTAGGCGATAGTTGTGCGAACTCTTATTCATTTTGCAGTTCTGGGAAAACTCCGCGATTTGCAATGACTGGTGCCGACAAAGATAAACTGCACGACGTATTGAAGGAGAGAGATACCTAATAGAGAGAGAATTTATTAATTTTTATATTTAATTCACTTTTGTGAATATTGTTCTCTTCAAAGTGGTTTTTTTTTTTTTTTTATTCTCGACACTATTATATTTAGCTTTTCGTTATCTCTTACGTAAAGTTCTTGGAATCGATTGATGCAGCCAATTGAAAACTGGACAGATTGCTTCGTAGACTTTTCCTAAAAGCATCTATCAGTGTATTTCGTGATTGAACATGTAAGTCGAGAGAAACGATATTGAATAAAACTTATTGTGAGTGATAAATTACAGAGTTGGAAAATATTCACATAAAAAAAAAATTTACGAGAGTTGCAATTTTTACTAAACAGCTGGTATCAGTGTGATATCAATATCAATGTTGAAGTATTAATATCGTAATCGTAAAAAGTACTTGCAAACTTATTTTCGATATTTTAAAGAATCGATTACGTGTTCTGTATATTTCTCAATAATACGATATGTCCACACGATATATGAAAAAAGTTTACGGCAGTGATGTGATCCTTGACAAGGATAACGATGGTGCAAGTGACATAGAAATTTCAGTGACCAACGACACCAAGTCCAAGTCTTTTAACGTTTTTAATGTAGTACGTAAACTAAATATTGTTATTACATTTATAATTGTTCTTCGAAATATAATTAACGTTACAAACTTATGTATAATTAACGTTACAAACTTATACAGAATTAACATTACAAACTTATATTTACAGTTAAATCAAAATTCAGACAATGACGAGCAAGAAATCAGTGATAAGCAAGATGAGGAGGATTTGGTTACAAACGACACAAATTGCAACGACATGAAACGTAAAAAAAAGAAGAAGAAGCGTAAGAAGTTGGAGAATATTAAAAGTCAACAGCATCGTGATACAGAATGTAATGAAAATGTAGACGAAATTGAAAGAAGCATATTGGAAGTGAACAAATTACTTGGGGAACCAGTAGCAGGCTGCAGTAATCAAGTTTTAGAACCGCAATGGATTAATAAAAAAACTAAAGAAGACATATTATCTGTACAGCACAAACACTTGAATCCATATAACGAATTGAAGAGAATTTTTGGTAGTAAAACTGTACAAGCTGAACGAAGGTATAATTGCACTTATATGTAACGTACGATCATATGTATTTACAGTATGTTGAAACATATGTGCAATTCATAAGTTCATATTGAAAGAAAAAAAACTATATTCTTATAGCAAAAGCAGAAACAGAGGTCGTACTGGACATTTGAAAAAGACATGGTTGGTTTGCCCGCGGGATAATTGGCCACCGATTGGTAAATCTGGATTATCGATGTCTTTAGATAACAGTATGGAGACTGCAGGGAATGTACAGTATTTTGTATTTGAACATAGCTCTTCGTACAAACAGACGCAAATGAGATTCTTGCAAGCTGTTGAAAGTTTAAATCCAGAGAACATAATTGTAAGTAAATTTATCACAAAAACATATTGGAATGCAATATTAATTTATATGCTATGGAAAATTTGTAAAAATATTTTCTACTTATCTATATAAATATTTGATAACAAAGACTTCATAAAAATTTCATTTTAGAGCATAATAAATATACATTCTTATCATGTGGATGCTCTTCTGCAAGTAGCAGAGCTCTGTAAATTAAGCGAAGATTTACCAATGGCAGCACAATTTGTTGAGCGGGCTCTTTACTGCTTAGAATGTGCATTTCATCCTTCCTTTAATGTAACAACTGCTCAATGTAGGCTAGATTACAGGAAACAACAAAATCGTGCATTGTTCATAACACTTTTTAAACATCTTGGATTTGTTGGAGGACGGGCTTGTTATAGGTAAGTATAACAAGTATATGATTCAAACGAATGTTGAAACAAAAAGTAAAGAAATTTATGTTAAAATTTCAGAACAAGCTTGGAATTTTGTAAATTGCTTCTGTCATTGGATCCTGATGGTGATCCACTAGCGATGGTCTTAGCCATTGATTTCTATGCTTTAAGATCTAAAGAATACGAATGGTTTATAGAATTTTGTGATCTTTGGGAGAGTGCTAGAAATCTAACTCAATTGCCAAACATAGCTTATAGTTTGGCCTTGGCTCACTTCCGTTTGGGAAATAAGTCTGATGCTGATACGCTTCTGCAAAATGCTCTTATCATGTTTCCAGGTGTATTAATGCTATTAATTGAGAAATGTAGCATACAAAGCGACGTTAAGGTATTGATTTAAAAAAATTTTTTTATTAATCACAGTATTTTAAAGCATTTTTTGAAACACAGTTTTAGAATAATAGATAAATGTTACTCAAATATTTTATTTACTAGGTAATGGGTCATGAATTCTTCAACTCCAAAGCACAAGCTAGTACATCACCAGCTTTAGAGAAACTGCAAAATTTATACGTGGTGCGTTGCTTCCACGTATGGAAGGAGGCAGATATTTTACCATGGTTGGAAAAATGTGTGCACGCTGTGCTGAAACGTATTGAGGCTAAAGATGATTATGTCAAGTATTGTCAACTAATGCGTAGCAAACGCTATCAAGGAAGGCTACCAAAAAATATTTTGAGACACATCATATTAGCAGACATGAAAGAAGTTATAATTAACGTTCAAGAAGTAAATATTTTACACGTTGAGATCATAAAATGTATTAGTATGAGATTAATTTATTAAAATGTTTGCTTATTCTAGATCCAGAATGAAGGTCCTGTGTTGTCACATGATCCATTACCGCCGATAGACACTATCGATATCTATAAGAGGCCTACGGCAAATGATAGACTAGCTGAAAGAAATTCAAACGTCTTTTCTCTCTTCTTCACTTCACTATTCACGGATATCAATGGCGAAGTAACAGCTGCTGCTTTAAACGGTTTAAATTTATTGTAAGTACATACAAAAGTAAAAAGTCATGATTACTTTAAAAGACAGAAATATCTTATTTTGTTTTCAATATCTAATTTCGTAAATAACTCATTTAAAATATTAATTGCTATTGTAATTAAAATTTCCTTATTTATATAAATTATATATATGCAACGAACAGATAATATGCTAAGTAAAGAATATTAATTACAATTATTTGTTTTTTCAGCGAGGAAAATGATGACAATGCATAATATTTTCTAAACACGTGGAACTTAATAATAACACAAACTATACAATAAATTGTTCCGTTTTAAATAGTGTATAAATGCATGTAAGAATACGAATACATAATTAGTAAATAATAGTACAATCAAAAAATTTCGAGTATAAAGAAACAAAGTTGCAATTTTGTTAGTTTCTCCAATCAATAAAAAAATTTTTTATTTCCTTTTTTTTGAATATATGTATGTATAATGCTACATTATCATGAAGCATTCAATAATAAATGATTATTACAAATCTGTTATGTACGCGTCTTCTGAACATTTGTAAATATGATAAATATATCTATATATTTTGCAGTAAATAAAATATAAAATAAATTCTATATGCGTCTCATGTACATTGTATACATGTATCTACCGTACATTATAAACAATCATTGTATTAAATATAAGAAAAACAAGAATAAACATTATCATATTAATTTCCAAAGTATAATTATAGACAAATCATAAGTTCAAACATACTGACATGATTGTGTAAAAAAGAAGTATGAGAATTAAGTCTCTTTATCAATCAATTAGAATCTTTGAATTTTTTAAATCTGCATTTAATACTATGTGAAAAAAGAAATCAGAATTTTATAAAATGATCAAAATAATTTGAATCGCGTGTTTATTTCATTTATTTATCTCTTAAACCATACTGTGAAACACGGGATTATAACGACAAATTCCAGGACCATATTCTTGATAAGCCTTCTTTGTGTGACAGACTGTGTAGAATTCTGGATCACTGGCCAGCAACGCGCCACCATACCATACCGCGCAACGCTGCTTGTGATGCGATATCACACGGACGTCTATTGGTTTTGGCTAGAATATAAATTTAATCAAATGAATAAACACGGAAAAAACAGTATTTTGTAAGTAAATTATTGTCACGATGTTTACCGTAATATGGCTGCCGCTTAGTGTCTCACTAAGCTTCAGCCGTGTATCGACAATCTTTTTTATATCGCGTTGCAGTCGTCTACCAAAGTCCTTGAACATAGTAGAGCCCCCCGATAGCACAATGTTACTGTATAATGGTCTTCTAACATCGATGGGGCAGTTTTGAATTACGTCATCAACAATTTCATTGAGCGGCGTTGTAAAATCCGGATTAGAAAACTGTAATTTTTATATATAGAGAAAAAATGTTGAACATCGATTATGTAAAGCATTGTATGTATGTATACAACTTACTTCGGGATGGAAAAATATTTCCGGTCCAAGGAACCTTTCATATCCGACATCCACGACAAATGGTTGTTTGGTGATATTGTTAATACCTTCATATTTCTTAATTTTCGTAGGATCGCTATCGTATTTGGCGAATTCTTTCGATATATCTGGGCATATATAACAATATTTCTCTTTGATTGACTTGGCTGTTTCTAACGACTGCTCAGGCGGTATTCCAATCTCTCGTTCTCTCAGCAGACTTTGTATAAAATAAGTAATATCACGACCAGCAATGGGAATGTGCTTTATACAACTTCCTATAACAAAACCTTGTGCCTGTAAAAATACAACGTGTTGTCAGACTTGATGTGCACGATTTTAAAAGTAAATCTCATACATATTTTTGTGTACGTACTACTGGAATTACGTGAGTTACGCCATCTCCACTATCCACAACGACGCCGGTTAAGGTACGGTCCTCTAAATTCTTGGCTGTCCATGAAGCCGCTAAGGCAAGAACAGCTTGCACAGCTATGTAAAGTCCTGGTACATTAAACGACTCAAACATAATTTCTGCTGTGTATTCTCGATTTTCCGGAGTGTTTAATGGCGGTTCTGTTAACAGGAAGTAATGATCTTCTGGTTCCGACCTGAGGTATTTGAAAATGCATTGTTGTAAGAACTTCTCCATCAAGTCCCAATCCTCCACTAATCCATGCCTCACAGGATACTGCCAAGTTAAAGATCAGAATGTATTTATTAAATATTCATTAATAGCAATCTTGTTTTGAAAGAATACTGTATAGATAAATACTTTAATCGAGTATCCAGTGGCTTCAAAAGCCTCATCTCCGATGTAGGCATCTAAATCTTCGACGCCTTTTGTAATTCTCCTCGCATTATTGTCACCGACCTTAATTGTCTCCTTGATAGCGATCGCTGAAGGTATAGTCAACTGGGGCTCTTTATTGCCAGCAAATCCTAATTTCGTGTATCTGTATGTAAAATAACTCAATTATTAATTATTAATATAGCCAATAATAGCTTGATATTTGATTATTAATATAACTAATAATAGTTCAATATTTAATTATTAATATAGCCAATAATCGTGCTGGAGTAAAAGACATCAAGCATGTAATTTACGCGTGGGCGGCAAATATTCTTACGTCAATATGATTTATCACAGAACGGAACAAATTTTCTACTACAAAAATTGTAAGATGGAATGTGTTTGAATCATCGAAGGGGCACGGTTTACCCTTTCGCAGGTTTATCTGAAGTGTGTCATCGCACTGACAGATTAAAGCGGCTTCTAACCTAATTGACTCCGCCCTAAATCGGCTGTTCCGATTGTTTGTTTTAACGCTCCAGGATCACACTTACCCTGTGCCAACATCGATGACACACGCGGGGAGACGTCCGAGCATGATTCCGGCTCCACCGATGACTTATCCTGGCGAAACACACTCGTGCTGATGACGGTCGCGGCTAACCATTAAACCGCCGTGGAAGCAGCGCTAACCAACACCACGCCTCTCGCGCCGTATCGTACAGCAGCGACACCCGGTACGTGACCTCGGTACCGCAGCGTTTGCAAGAAAAATATATGGTACGCTTTTGCACCTTGTTCTTTTTGTCTTCCTCTCTCTAGACGTAAACGTATACCAATTCTTTTTTAAACATAGAAAGTGCAAGATGGAGCAAATAAAATTTAATTATTTCCTTTTTATCGAAGGAGCGTAAACACGCAACACACGTGTACAGCATGTGTACGTGCCGCTTGTTTGGAGCAACAGAAATGGTGTGTTGTATGCATGTGCACGCCAGTACATGCGCAAGAGGTCAGAACCTTAGAGAGAACTGTCAAAAGCAATAAACGATGGTACGGTTAGTATCGTTACAATATTGAGTAATGTTACATATTCTTGTAAATTTATTTTACGTAGTCTAGAATGTTATACACAGAATTCATTAAATTGCCGCTTAATTGCCATATTTTTAAATTAACAGATACAATGTAGAACGTTGTCGAGTATGTGATCGTCATCATTTACTCCTTGAGAAGTAATGATTTTATCGATGATTAATAAATTCTGAACGACATGGAATTCTGGATGACCGAGAATTTCATCTTTCATCATTCAAGATCAAGTTAAGAGTGTATACCTGAAGTGAAGTGTTGTCTCAATCACACTGTACTGTATAAAATCTGGTCATCATGCGAAGGATGCCTTCTGAAATTTTCCTTGGAAATGGTGGAACTCTTCATCGTTCTTTAATGTTTATATTAAAACTTGGCTGGCAGTCAAGATTCCGTTTACCAGTGCTCTTAGTGATTGTTTTCGTCGCCATGGACTATAGATTACAGTTAGAAATCGAATTTGGGAACAATGCAGACCAGCATAATCACCTGTAACTGAAATTAGAAAAAATATTATGCTATCACATAGTTAATTTATATATTTAAGCATTATATGCTAATAATGTGCAATAGATATTTCGAGAAAAGTAAAGATATGGATTGTATTTAATTATTATAGAATGTCTAAAATGTAATGCATATATGTGTTAATTGTTAACAGTGATAATAATTATATCACATTTTATAAAGTTTTACTCACAAAATATTTTGCTCAGCACTCGTAGATTACTAATATTTGTATCTGATAGATTGATATACCTGATATCTGTCATAATATTGTTTTAAAACTTTCTTGTACCTTGCTATACTAAATTATATTACATTTTATTATATTAATTTATATTGTGCAATATTTAAAATATTCAGTTTATATAATTTTACTATTACAGAAATATTTAGAAGATAAAGAAGTATGCACAAGAAATTGATTTCAAGAAATTTTTTTAAAGTAAATACAGAATTTATAATTTGTTACAAAAGTACATGTAATAAGAACTAAAGAAATTTTGATTGTGATAATTTGTATCTTAAAGTGATTTTGTTTATGATTATTAAACTGAAGATAAGAAGTAAATAAAGCAGAAAGAAAGACTTTCTTTCATAAAGTTTACTTGTTTGCAAGATTTTAAAATAAATTTTGTTAGAATTGATATGACAAATTTTTTTATGAGAAATTAAATATTTAGTAAATACACAAAATAAGTAATTACCAATTATGTAATTAATTCTAGCACATTGTATATTTCACCCATGTATAATGTATATTAAAATTATATTATGAATAAGAAATTATTTTTTTAGAAACTATGCATAATTTTTATTTTTTTAAATAAAAAATATATTTTTTTTATATTTCTAGTTATTAAAAATGCAAGAGATATAATTGAATTGTAAATAAAAAATTTGTTTAAATGTTGAAAAGATTACACTTTTACGTTTTATTTTTGCTAATTAATTTTCTTATATCACTCGATATTTCTCAAAATAATTTATTTTTCTTTAGATCTTAAATTAAACTTTTAATCTTTTAAATATATTTTAAATACTTTTTTTATCAAAAACTAATTAAAAACTATAAATTAAGAAAATTAATTAATTATATCTATAAATGATTACTTATATCTCTATCTTCGATATAGATTATATCTATCGATTATATCTATAAATGATATGATTAGATATTTTTAATCATAATTATACTTACTATTATGTGAAATTAAAGTTTGTAAAAAAAGCAGAAATATCTACGTCATTCCAGAATAAACTCCTTAATTATAAGCTACCATACATAAGATAAATCAATAACTCTCTCAATTCTGTAGAAATAGTAGCGCAGCTGGAAATAGATTGAAATTCTCGTAAATGGTTGGGAAGCCACAATAATTCAACGTGGTCCCACGCAAGATGTTTTTCCTCTCAGGACACGTCTGCCTTATGAAGAAAAAGTGGTTGCTTTTGCACGCGTTTTCCCTACCCGCTTCAGAAACATTGCGCTTTTTCTTCGATGAAGAAAAATCGATTGACGATAAATTTCGCCGACGTTTACTCAATATGCACAGCTGTTCATGGTGGGGAGATTTTCCTTATATAGACTGTGTTAATGGTGTTTATCGGATTTTCTTCGCGTAACCGCTCCGATGGAAGCTAGTATCCCAAGATTTTCCAAGATTGCCTTCGGGATTCTTCTTCTGTTCACATGTTTCTCGTCGCAAACTGAAGCAACATTTAAGCTGGAAAGTTTCCGTGAGTGAATTAATAATAGTGATACGAGTGTGTTAAAAATATAGTTTTGATAAACTTAAAATTTTAATTAAATTTGACCTGCTATATTTCGTATAGAGAGTTTGTGTTTAGTATATGTATTTTAGTTGAGTTTGTATTTCGTCTCGTTTAAATCTTTTCATGGCACCTATAAAAGTATTAGAAATAATCGTCAAAGTATATCAAATGTCAATTATAAGATGATAAAATGTATACTGACTTTTCCAGAGCAAAAATTAGTTGCTTTAAACAAGGTTCTTGACTACATTAACAATAGACCACAGCAGATGAATGCAGATACTATTTTCGGTGTTACATTATGTGAAGGTAAAAAAGTTTTATTAATCTTAACGACAATTATTAAATATAATTATTAAATAAGACTAAATGTGTTGATAAGTAATGATATACTTATTTATATATACTTTTTAAATAAACTTTTTACAAGAAACCTAAACTAAAATTTTAATTAAAATATAAAAATTTTTAATTTACATAAATTAATAAACAAAAAAATGTATTTTTATCTAATCTAATTAAATGTGACAATTAATCTTTTAAAAAATAGCTAATTTGATGACGGCACTTTTGCATGAGAATGTACAATATTTGAACAATACAGTCTTTACTGCTCTTAATGAAGTAACTACATTATCCGATTTGACTAGAAGAAATTTGATGAATATTGTTACTCCGACGAATAAAACAGAGCATTTTCGTAAGTACATACATTTCTCAAAAATTCTTTAGATTATTAATTAGTGTTACCATAATATTTTATGTATCTTAATCAAGATACAAAATTTTTGCAGTTCAATCAGTTTTAAATGATCCCATCATGTGGATAAAACCTCTATTATGGACAAAGCTTTTTCCAAAAGTGAAACTCATTCCAAATCAAAAATTAAACTATTTGAAAGTCATTAAATCGATGTGGTATGGAGCACCTAATGAAACAGAAAGTGATGAATGTTTAGTCAAAATTGCACACAGTGGTTCAAACAAAAAGTGTCAAATTCCTGAAACTTGCATTGAAATATTAATGAGGAATGATGGTACTACAGGATATCCTCTCACGCATAGATTGCTGATTATTCAAATCGCTAGAATGGTAAAATATCATAAAATTAAAATGTTGCTTGAAAGAAGAATTTATAATTTTTCTTAACTTTTAAATTAATTGATTTTTCTGATTATTTTGTTCATATAAACTTGATCTTTTGTTTTGAAATAAATATTTAATTTGAAATTGATATTTAATAATAAGATTTTTCTCAATTATATAATATGCTTATCGTATTCTGTGCGTGTGCACACTTGTTATATATTATATTTAAGAAAAAAAATCTTTTTCTGTACATTTTGATATTTATTTCTATGTAAGTTGAATTAATAAAAGAATAATATTCACACATCCAATGGTTGGCTTTAGTTTGGATGCCAAGAAATTAAATTGGCACAGTTTTCTCATTTGGTACCTACATATTGTGCCAAAATTCTTCAGAATCTTATCGATCTTGAAGCATGGAATTTTCCAATTGTTGCAAGAGACCTTATGATTGAACAAAGTATGTATATATGAGTAATAAAAATATTTTATGTATAATAAATATATAATTATAAATATTTTATGATTAATTGCTTTTGTAACTTTTCAGTCGTTTTATGTGGTATGGAAGGTTACTATGAATTCATCGATAAACACTATGAAGATCTAATATTAAGCTGGCCTCATTCAAGCGGTTGCTTTGGTTTTCAGAAGTAATAACTCATGAATTACAAATATAATTTGACACAGATTTAAATTATATAATCATGGCATAATTATTGTAGTTAGTACTGAGAAACTATGTACATACTTACATTTTACAACAAAAAACGCATCATGTTAAATGTTTCAGATTTGGTAAAGAACACAGAATCACCCGACGATCATCATCGCAAACCGATTTTGGATGTGAAAATCATACAACAGGCGCTGCTGCTGCAGCGCTTGCCTTATTTATTCGAGAAAATATAGAAAATGCATTCAGGCAATCTGAAATTGTTTAAAAATGCGTCTCATGTTGACGATCTGAAAAAGACAATTCCTTTCAGATAAATGTATCATCCATATCTTTTAAGATTTATAAACTATCTTACAATAACATAACCAAGTTCATTGATACTTTCTAATTGTCTATTTCTTCTCCTCCCAGTTATTTACAATAAATATTAAGATTATTCTTCGTTTATCAAATATCTCATTCTAGAAATATAACCTACTTCAATTTACGATCCGGCGGTTAGACAAGCGACAAAACATCATTAACTTGTGAACATCTGTTATAAATAGTACTTTCCAGCAATCGCTTGTTACTTTAATCATGTTTAATCAGTACTTTCGACGAAAATTCACACTTATTTTGCTTTTAACACGAAAACATGATGAACTGCTTAGCATTCGTATTCAGCGTATTAAACCCGGGAAAAATTACGACGACTGCAGCGCTGCGTAGCAGGGCAGCCAACTGCTAGTCACAACAGTTATGTCACATCCATAAGAAAATGCATATAGAAATGGACCAATCCAAATCCTTATGTATATGCTCTTGCGCCTATGCAAATTGATATGAATATACCCTTATTCTATTGGCAGCACTGAGTTTTGCTAAGGTCAATTCGGAATGCGGAGCGCGAACAATTCACAAGTAAGTTGATTAATTATTTTATCCGTTCTAATCGCGTAGTAGAGAGACATAATAATTACAAATTTTTGTCAGGTGTGCCGATTAATGTGACGGGCGATTGTTTGAACGTATTATTTGGATTTGTTCGCGATTATACAGGTGTTTTGTCGATTGTCTAACGATCTATTGGAGGTTATAATCCAAGTAAAATCAAATTCTGGCGATAGATACGCAATATAATCTCTATATTTTCTTCAGAAAATCGAAACGAAATGTATGTACATCAACAACGATGTACATACATTCGTACTACGATCTTTGCATGACCGCCAAGACAATCGTTTTTCCGAGCATAATGCCCGGTCGATCGTTGTCGTGTAATATATATGTTATAAATATGTGAACGCAACGCGGCGTTTTATCTCGGCATTTGTTGTACCGTAATAAATTCGCGACGTAAGTCTATAATTTTCGCCCTAAATAAAATACGCGAGCTGAGTTTTATTCGGTACTGTGTGTAGTTAAGTGCGTGTTTCCGATACTCGTCGATGGAATTGATAGTGCAAAGCAAAATTTACGAGTAGAGCGAATTGCAATATTCTTGCTGGTGAGTACAACTACTTGTTCATTATTTAAAAAATATATGTATGTATGTATAATTATGACACATACATAATTACAGAATTTGTATTTATCGAATATTTATAAAGATCTTTAAAAATATTTATTTACTAACATATTTATTAAATATATATTAAAATTTTTTGCGTTTGTATTGACGCGCCCAGAAAAAATTCAAGTTAAACGACGGTTAAACCGAATAGTTATTTTATTAGCCACCAGGCGCGCTGTATTCAATGTTATTCTACCGACAATGATGAATTCGCGTTATTTTGGAACGCTGAGCGCGAATTGTGGATTATCACGCATTTTATTCGTATTAAAAACAAAATAAGTGCGAACTTTTGTCGGGAGCGTTGGGAGTGCTGATTAAAGTGACTGTTCAAACATGTAATGTACCGTGAATATTCATAATTAACGGTGTTTAGTCGATCTGGCAACCAGATCGTTACAATTCCAATATGTATATATTACATGCTTTTAACGCTACAGATACGCAGTATAATCTCTACATTTATTCAAAAAAATCGAAACACAATGACTATCTATTAGTATAATGTAGCATGTTGAAGATTTAGCTTATCAGACTTGTATCGGGTAAAACATGGTTGTCTTGCGTACATATTTACATCTGACGACCTTCGCGTCACCGCCAAGTTAGTCGTCATTCGTTTCACTTACTATGAATTCGTATATGTATAATACCATGTTGTTTTTGTACAACATTCCGTACATTCTGTTTGTAATATTTCATGTGTGCGGACGCGACGCGGCACATTTTATCTCGCATTTGCATATCGCGATATGAATCCGAAATGTTCGTGTAAAATAAAATATGAAGGAATTGATTTATTTTTGTTTGATAGTGTAAGTGAAGTGCGGATTTTTGATCATTCGTTTGGAACTTCGATGGAACTGATGCGGAGCAGACTATTAATCTGCAGCGGCTGGAGCAGACTTCAATATCTTAGCTGGTGAGTACAACTATCTATTTATTATTCAAAAATATATATGCATAACTGTGGTAAGGCACACATACACAATTACAAAATTAAAATTTTTATGATTGCTAACGCATATTATATAGTAATCTATAATAATCTTACTTATAATAATCAAAATATATTAAAATATATATAAAATAACTAAAATATATTAATATTTTCGCAGGTACAGCTGACAGCGTACTTAGCTAAGGTACAACGACCGGTGAGTGAATTCATTCTATATAATTATGTGTCGTATGACAAAATACTGATATCATTCTCTGTGTTTGCCAATATTTATTATATAATTGTTACGAATCGTGACAATCATATTTTCGTCTGCAACTTATATTTCTACAAATAAATAATAAAGTACAAAATTATTTTCTTTCTATCTTAATTGAGGAAAATTTATAATTACGCAAATTATATATGCTATTTTATTATTCTTAAATTATAAAATTTTGAAAGTATAAATTATATGAACATATATACAAATGAAAATTTTATAGAGACACATTATAAAAAGTTTAAAACATAAACTATAAAAAATTTAGAAACTAAAATTTTTAAGATATAAATTTTGAGCATATAATATTTGATTTAATTTCCAAATATATATGAGAGAGAATATATTTCTTATTTAATTTTTTAAATAAGTTTAATTGTATAACATGTTTGCCAAAGAATGAATTGTTAAAGTACAGTTTCGGATGCGTAGAAAAATCGTGATACAATTGCTTATATTATAATAATAGATTAATCGATTCGCTTTTATGGCACGTGTTTCACCAAGTGATTTTTTTTCCGGATATCATAAAATTCAGTAGTCCTTTAAATCAGGTTTTCAAACTTTGTAAAAGGAGCTCAATTGTTAAAGAAATATCGATATATTATACTTCTTCTCATTACAGTAGCTTTTGTTATATTAGTCCAAACAATTTTTAGCTATTATTTGTTGTTATTTTTAGCTCAATTTACAATCTAGGCGGCACAAAATTCGTTTTATTTAATTGATAATAACGTGGAAATAATAGAACAAGGACAAATTTTTCATGAATTTTACTGTATAAGATATATTATTCATTATATCTTATATACTTTTTCTCGATGTCGTCTTGACAATATTATAGGGAAAATATTTTAGTATACAATTTATTGACAATAATTTTTGCTTGCCTTTTTTCTTGCATTTTCCTTTATATAATAAAGCGAAGACAATTCAAACAACTTTTATGAAAATTTGATAAGCGTATATTATTAAATGTGCATGAGATGCACAAATATGATTGTGCAATTCGTGCACAATCATATTTGTGAAAGAGTATAAACGTATGTGTGTATCTTAATAAAAAATTAAATAATATAATAATAAATATGTATTTCACGCGCCATTTTCTGTATGATAAATTGTAATTGTAAAAAACTCGTTTTGATTGATCTAAGACAACCTTGCTGCTGCATGGTATATCATTCAACATTGTTCAGTGTAGATTGATACGTATTAGTAGCGAAAGTAGCCGTGTACCATTGCAATCGATTGGACTATTGCAAGAGCATATCGCGGACCGATATAGGCTCACGTGGGCTCATTTGAATGATAGCAATATTGTTGTGGACATTACACTGTTCTCCAACCTCGATCGCTTCGTGAATGGTCTGGGCACGGGTCCTGCAATTGTATCTACGTATTCAATCTTGCTCTCATGGTCGTCGGTAATTGTATGGTTTTCCATAGGGACCCATTCTTTTGCTCAGCTTCTCAATTTTCAATTGTTGGAAGTAACTGTATACTACCAGCCACATGTATACATATATCACTGCAAAAAGATAATTAATATTAAATTGATCATCATTATTATGAAAATTAATCAATGTTTTTATTGTTATTAATATATCAAATTTTATGACATTTTTTAAAATCTCATTCTACAGTAAGAAGAGAAATACTTTCATTAAAAAAAAGATTTATTCTTTTTAATAATTAAATGTCTGATGTTTATTTAAAGCGCGATTGATGTTAAGTACGTACCGACAGCAACTAGACCGAAAATAAGCCACAGAACACCGTTGAGAACTTCGTGGTTTATGAAGAACATAATCGCGGTGTAAAGAACGCTCACCAGAAGAGCTACGGCTAACATGATGCCCAGGACCACCCATGGAAGCATCATAAACGTATTTTTCTGCAAATACAGACCGGTCGAGGTCATGTTACCCGTTCAATCGAGGTTACATTTTACGTAAATTGATTTCATATAATAAATATATGTATATTAAGATACACACATACGTCAGTATACATTTAACATATATATTTAAAATATTTTTATAAGAAAAAATAGTTTAAAATTTTTCCGCATATTCGTGATCAATGATGGAAAATGTACAATTTTTATACAACGTATATATTTACATACATTAATTCACAAATATTCTGAAGAACTTAAAACCATTTTTTCTTATAAAAAAATTTTAAATTATCAGTGACTTTATATATCTTGCAGCTTAAAATATTTAAGACACTTCTGTTTGAGTATTCTTCGGTGACATTTTACTGTCGAAATTATGATGAAAATATTTTCTTACCCTTAAAGCGCCGATTATGAGTAGTGTAGAAATTAGAATGGTCATACAGAGATTGATCGCGAAGATGATCTTTACAGCTGTTTTGTCTAGAATGTCGATAATTATCGTTTTCCATTCTACGTTTGCTGTGAAAATCAGAATCAGGGAGATCACAGCGAGTATCTACAAAAAGCATCGCATTTAATAACTTTAATAAGTCGAACGTCGAATATTAAATTATGCAAATTAGGAAATATGAAAATACTTACGATTCCACATACTCCGCTAAAAATTGTCCCCGTTTTAAGGGAAAAACACCTACAACACGATGTCAGCTGCATTCTAAAACGCAAAGAAAGAATGAGATTATTTTTTGCCAAATATTATTTACTGATAATATAGATTACATTGCTAATTTTGCTGACTTGTTAAAATTACAACTTTATCACATTTTTAACGAAAATATTATTGTGCGCAATTAAATCATGATCTTTTAGTAAATATGACAACTTATAACGTATAACAATAGTTGCAAAATTAATGAAACCAATTCTAGAAAAAACGCGAATAACTGAAGAATGGAAATGTGACAATGATTCTCTAATTATATGCTTCAATAGTGTCTGAATTGAAGGAAAAAGAAATCTTTGCTTTTAAAATAGCGGTATTGGGTGACATTCTTGAAGATTGTCGTGCTCGGAATAGATTCGAATACGATTTACATAATTACATCATAGAAATCCGACACACCCGTGTTTTATTCACCGATTCTGAAGGATGACGTAGTAACACAATATTGGGCGATGATGCGATGGGATCCGTTTACATCGCGGTATATCGCAACATTGCACGCAAAGTTAATTTGTGTCGAGAATACGGGAAATTTAGGTCATTGGCATGTGCGCTGCGCGCTGGCATCTATTTTAGATACATGTTGGATTTGCCGTCGCTGACCTTTCTTCCGGAGTTTGTTATTTCTCCAGAACTTAGGGAACGATATCCGGCGATAGAGGATAGACACATTCGTGTAGAACAAACATACATTTTGCATATAAAAAATATATAAAATTTTGCGAAATTTACTGCGCAAAAATACGTGGCTTTTTCTTTAAATAAAATAAAGAAATAAGAACGAAAGCAATATCAGAATCTAAAATTCGAATTTATATATAAATTTGTTTCTGGAAAACATCACATTAAGCGTGAAATATATCTATCTAATTTTAATAAAACTCAAACATTAGGTTCTCACAATCTATCTCACAAATAATTTGGTTCAAAAATGATTGCAAGTATTTAAAAATTATTTATTTTGATTTACTTAAAAAAATTTTTGATAATCTTAAAGCTCTTAAATTTTTTAAATTGTTTTTTTTATCTAAAATAGCACTGACGCTTTTTTCAAAATTGAAAATTTCAGAGTTATCATACAATATCGGCACTTTATTTATCGAATCAGATAGCAACGAATGCTGTATATGTCACAGGCATAGGCTTATGTGCATATTTGGTATAGTATATCGAATTATATATGCGATCGTGCGCGATCGAAGGTCCGATACTTCCTTGCGTTCGTCTGCGGAGATCGGCCAAGGCGCAAGATCACTATAGAATCGTGTACATGCGGCCGCGACAACGCCGACGAAGTTCGCTCGAGGTCTTTCGGTCCCCATAAGGAAAAACACGTCTCATGGCCCTACGCCGTTCTCGCGAACTCACCCGTTTACTCCGTACAAAAAGCTATCACGTCACAGCCGCGAGTGATGACCGAACAATTAAGATTACCTTGCGGTTCACGGTGAATTGATGACTGTACTTGACCGACACTTGAGTGGGATCAAAAAAAGTTTCGGATATTAAGAGTTCTCAATATCCTTGGACCATTTTAGTTTGTGATGTCAAAAGAGAGAGAAATTGGAAAACGCTTCTTGTAACTTTTGTTTATGCAAATAATTGTTGAAAGTTCAAAACATATTTATCAAATAGCATGAAAAATTGTGACAATTTAGGACATTAAGTGAAAAAATCGTAGAGTGATTGAATGATATAGTTAATGCTGGAAATCAATGAGGAGAAAAGAATAAAATTGTTGCAGTACGTAGATGCATCCCGGAAGAGCGCATTATGCACTGCTGAAACGCGCGATTCTATCCGACTCGTGCAAAAAGAGATTGCGTCATCGCATAAAAGAGTACTGTGAGGCTCGGCCGATCTTTTTTCGACAAGAGAACGAGCCCTTTAAATGCCAATATTGTAATCTATTTTGAGCAATAAGCAAATATTTTACACGTGGCATAATTTCTTCAAAGATATTTGCTGTGAATAACGAGGAAATTATGCAATACGTTTTTCTTAAATTAGTAATCATTAATGAATTAATATATACATATATAATAAAGTAAATTTTAAGTTAAAAAAAAATAGCTTTAAAAAATTTACATTTAAAAGTAAAAATTTACGTTTTAATTTTGAGATTTATATATTTTATTTAAAAAAAATAACTAGCACAAGTGCGACGTCTAATGACGTTGACTTTCATTTATATTTTCAAATGCGATAAGCAGATGATAAGCAAATGACAGTGAATATTTATTCTACGCGGAATACATGCTTGTGTTATATGTCATTAGCGACGATAACAAAAAATTCCTATAGAAAACGACATTGCGATAGACGCGGGGTCGATTGGCGTGTTGCACACGGAATTGACGTTAAATTTAGGTTGTGAGTAAGCTACGCGCAAAAAAAACGTTGGTTAAAAATACACAATACTATTCGATAGACGCGTTAAATGAGACAATATCTGTTTTCTTGGCCTATATATGATGATTAATCAGGAATAAAAGGAAAGAGACGACACCCCATAGAGACATTTCGCGTGCGTTCCATTCGATTGTCTTAATATAAGAAAGGGGTGCGGTTTTAGGGGAAATAAAGAATGAAGATCAATATTGTTCAATAAGAGAAACTAGGTCATCTTAAGAATTCTCGTATTAATCAGTAGTCTTGAATATTTTGCAAAAGTAGTTGAATTATAATTTTCAAATTACTGTTTTTAATACCGGAAAGCCGCTCAGTTTGAAAAGAAAATACGATGATAGATTATTTTTATCAAAGCCAAATTTTGTTTCACATGTCGTATTCTAAATATTAATTAATTATTTATTATATACAAGTTTTTTTATACATATATTATGATATATCGATTTTATGAATTTTTTATCAGATTGTCTCGAGTCATCAGTTTTGATGTCATCAATGTTGTCATGCTAATTGTGCCAATAAGTCATCGCAATTCCGTAAGATGCATGAAAGATTGTCTCACGTCAGTGTTTATGGAAGAATATCAATGTTGAATGATTTCTAAGAACGCAATGAAAATGCGTTCATCGTGATCCATATGATAAGTTATGTGTATATTTTACGAGGCGCAATACGAGCTTAAACTATGCAAAATCAAGCGTATATTTTTATACTTTAGTCACGATCAACGTGCGGCCTCCTTTTACTTCTCATGCTAAAACGCGTTTTCTTGTATCTTACGAAATTTACGAAACATTTTTGAAGGTCAACCTCGATTTTGTAGCAGATTTTGTAGCATTTGAAGGATGTTTTCTCTTCAAAATACATTTATGATTATTTTTTTAAAATTAAGATATATTTTTCCTTAGCTAGTTACCTGTGATTGTAATATATTATCAAATTGATAATACTACATAAATGTATAAATTATTTAGAAACGTATGCTTATAACAGAAAAAGAAAAAGAATTGAAATCTTCAAGAACGTGATTGGTGAATCGCGCCGTCACGACGGATTATAAATGACACTGTAAAAACGCTATCCGCTACAAAGCGAAGTTCGATTACATCACTTCAAGGCACCGACTTGTTTACAAGTCACTGTTTGCATTCTGCTACTTATGTCATTAAAAATTTAACAATTCACTTTTGATTAATTATTCAATTGCCTAAACCGTCGCGTATCACCGTATGCGAACGTATGAAACACTTCTTGCCTGCCGATAAAACTACGAAACGCCAATATCGCCGATCCGCGAAAGAAGATTCTGCGACTCGCGATCGTTCGTGTACTCACTTTTTTCTCGAAGCGCTCTCTTTCCAAGATCGATTGCGCAGGTGTACGGTACGTGCCGATTAGGGGAAACGGACGCGGATGCTGCACGAACGAGACGAGATGAGACGAGACGCGGAGGAAATCGCACGCAGGTCCAGCTCGCGCGCGTTCCGCTCGCAATAGGAGATGACCAGAAACTGTGCCAAGAACAGTGCGCGGCCGCCGCGCCAAACCGCGATGGTATACACCTACGACGCGTACACCTACATCGGTGCCTGGGTATACACCAACACTGGCGAGCCTACACTTGTGTCCATGTATGTGTGCCTCGTGTGCGCTACCGCGACTTACGCGAATGGCATATATCGCGCGCGATGCGAGAGGAAAGCGGGGGCCTCGCCACGATCGTGCTTTTTGTATGAATCGTTTGTAAGATCTTACGAGCGCGCTGGCTCGTAATAAGCGGACCGCAACCGTCGTTCATCAGCTTCTTCGTGTTTGATCTTCATCCGTCGCATGTTTAACTCGCCGGGAAAGTCGCATTTTACGTCGCAGATGCGCGACTTTCCTTGCATTTGCTTTTAGAGATCCGCGCGTTTCTCGGTCGTTAACTCAACAGAGCAGACGGAGACTAATGGCTACTTTGAATTAATAAAATCTTATGTAAGTTTCTTCACACAGATTTTGAAAAAAAATGATATAATTTTTGAAAAATTATATCTATTTTTTTGGATATTTTGAATTATTTCGAAAATTATATTTATTTTATTATGTACAAAAATAGTACAGCGTGTCATAAAATCTCAATTCTACTTTTTGGATCTAAACATTAGAATCTAAAACATTTCAAGATACTTTTAATTTCTACTTTTATTTATTTTTTTTTAAAAAAGTTAAAAAAATTGACATGGTTGAAAAGGTTATTTCTGATTATCATTACGTTTTAGCAAAATAGCATAATCCTAAGATTTGCGCAATATCAGCATGATTCTACGGGGTCAAGAGCAGAGTAAATATCTCTAGTTTCTTAGAAATATCTCTAGTTTCTTAGAAATGATTGAATTTCTCTTTTTTTTTTTATATAAATGATTGTATGAATGATACATGAGATTAATAGCACGTATCTTGTATCTGTCATCAGTTACAAAGCAAGTTATAGAGTCATAATTATGTGTATCATTCTTATACAACAGTATAATTTCCGTGATAGGTTCTCCAAGAAAAAGGCTGAGACAGCTGACTGTTCTAACGCGTTTGTTAGTTTGCATATATGTTGAGTGACCTCGAGATAACATCACGATGAACTGACTGACATTGCAGTTATATTTGCACGTATAGGTAATGAATGATTTCACACACGAGCTTGACGATTTCATATCTCTAAAATAAAAGCATTCGCTCTATGTTTGATAATGTGCAGTGCAAACTTTCGCGGTGTAAATAAACTTTCCCCATGCGCAAACATGTATATTTTTTTATCAGTTAAACGTGTATATCTAGCGCGTGAAAGTAGAGCTGCTCCTGCAAAACATTCGTTTCGGAATAAAGAATAATAATTACTATAATAGAATTTAATAATAGCAGCTCACCTAATCTTGCTATATTTAATGAGGTTTGTCGTAACAATTAATTCGTCGCGATTGTGAAACAGTTATTTGAATGATGATCTCACGTTGGAAAACATATAACTCAGAAAATTGAAATTTTCTATTTTTTTAAACGTTATAGAATACATATATAATTTAGAGAAGAGTATATCTTTAACAATAAAATTATTAGTATGCAATTAAAAATCATGATTTTAATTAATAGCATTTTTTTTGCAAGATTGTTCTTTGATATTTAGCATAACATTTTTTAATGTTATTTTATGTGATAGATCACAATAATTTACACGACTTTTATACATTATTTTTTCAAATCTCTTTGAAATAAAGACGAAGAAGATACTTGGATTATTTTATTTGAGATAATTTCAACACAGAAACGTTAAAAGAGTTGCAGGATTTTAGGCGCAAATTATATTTGTTATACAAACATGAAAAATATATTTTTTAAATTGCTCTGAATTTTTTATATATTTATTTTTAATGTTGAATATATATCAAGTATTTAAGATATTAATTTAATATTAGATTTTAATGCAATATTGCATTAAGGTAAAGAAAACAAAACATCGAAACATATCCATTGATGGCGAGTAAATGTGCAGCTGTCTATTTAACCTCTCAAGTTAAATAGGCTACTCTTATTACAAAATTTTTGTTAAATTACAAAAACTTAAAATTGAAAAGTTTAAGCCGAGAATGATTGTAAGAACGAAAAATAAGCTCGCGATCGAATTACTTTCGGAGCTCTGGTTACACAATGTCTGGCATTACGAAATATCTAACCCTTGAAGTGCAAATATTATTCATCAATGTTTTAGGTTTGGTAAATATCTCAGTGTATTGTTGTAATAGTATCTTGTAAAGTAAAAATTAAGTTTAAGTGAAAATTATTATTAAGAAAGTGAATTTTTTTATAATAATTCTAAAATCGCAAGTTGTAAAGGTTATTTTAATTGGTACATATTTCAATTATAAAAAGCAAATTTGTCAATTACTTTACACACAATTATATATTTTCACATTATTTAAAGTATCTATCGATACTCTTTATTAATTATTTAAAATATCTATCGCGATTATATAAATTATGAAAGTTTCGTAAAGTATAAATCATAATTATGGATTTGATTTTTCCACATTGGAATTCCAACACTTGTTTCATTCAAGTTAAGTATGTTGCATCACTTTGTCAAGGCCTTCGGTACTTTGAACTGGAGCTGGTTCAAGTGGGATCAGCAGTTACAGAAAATCTGGAACTTATCAGTTTTGCAATCCAATGAACTAGACGTGAATAATGTCAACTGGCTGAAGATCCGTTAGTACTCTGTCTTAAACATTTGATATAAATATATAGTCGGTTATTATATTTTACCGATAATTAAAAAAAATTTTTTACAACGTTAAAGTAGAAATTAAAGATAAAAAATCTCTTAAGCTCTATCATGGATCGTCGGGGCTCGATTTGTCATCGGTCGTGTCTCGCTTCTCGCGTACGGGGCTAACATCTACACAATAATATCACGAAGGCGGCAGAACTTGCTCGTATTTTGGATGGTGCTCAGCGTTTTTAAAGATATTATTTTGGAAGTTATCGTTATTGTCATTACTTTCCTACTGTGGTACAAGGGAAACGTTCCAACGTCGCACTTCGTCGGGTTTATCTTAGAGAAGACGGCATGGCTATGTAAGTAAGAGAAAACAGAACTAATCAAAAAGAAAAAAAACAACCATTCACAATAAAGAATAATTTCTCTTTATATTTAAACGATGAGTCTTGCAAAAGCGTTTAATCATTTCAGTTTTCTTGACTTACAAATGGTGCACGACTCTCAAATGGCACACGCAGCTGCGAAAAGTAGAGAAAATTCGTAGATTCACTTTAATCGCGCGGAGAAGCATTGCGAATATCGTTCACGCTCCCGGAAAAGTCAGAATTTCTCTGCAGGATGAGTATCTCAGTCCAGCGATAGCCAGACGGAATAAGTACGCGAGTCTTCTGAATCTGGACATGTTTTCAGACGAATCGTTCAATAGAGTAAATTTCGATTTGAGAGCTTCTAAATCCTTGACGACTTTGGCGACCAACGATAGTGACGACTCGAACGATACGAACAATCATGATCCGATCGCTAACGACTTGAGTGTGGCCGAAAAATCGATGAAGATGCTGAATGTAACGGCGGAGGACGTGATGGACGCGCGTGCCAGGATACAGGAGCGATCTTATTGGAACGAACAAAACGTACCATCTGACGCAATGGAAGAACTAGTGACACAGTTCACCCTGGAAAAAGTAGAAGACAAAAAGGATAACGTGGATCACACTTTGAAAGAGGAGGATACTGTACGAGATCATCCGACAGAGAAAGAGAGAAAGAAAGACGATAGCAAAAATTCTTTGACGGACAGTAAAGATGAAATTTTGAGTAGAAAGCAGGAAGAGAATATTTTATTAGTGAAAAATGTAACGCCAGAAAAGACGAAAAAAGAAGTGAAGAGAGCAGTAAAAATCGTGCAATGCCCATCGAATAAAGAAAACATGGAGGCCAAGCCATGCGCTTCTTTTGTAAGGAAACTGGAAGCGAAACTTTGCTCTATTTCTGCAAACCAGAAGGAAAAGAAGGTCGATCAGAAAATGCATCCTTGTCAAGTTAAGACAAAATCAACGTCAGCCAGTACAAGTTTAAATAAGGAAGAATTTGATAAAAATTCGGAAACACTATGCGCGTGTCGTCGTGTTTCGCGCAACATTTATACATCAAAAAACGGAAAATATGCGCAATCAATCAATATCAATGATAAAAGTGTTAAACATGATGTAGATAAGAAAGAATTTAAGCGTTTTGTTTCTACCGGCATTACACAGAAAGGTAAAGTCAACGAATACAATTCGACGTCGAAATATTCAGAAATATACCGTTTAAAAAAACAAATTAAAAAATCCGAGGACTCTTTCAGAAAGCAGTCGGCTACTTGGGAAAGTATGTCTTTAGCGCGAACAGCACATGTCTCGGGATACGCAAAGAATGTCGTCGCGACTGATAAAATATCTATTTCTCCGACTGAAACTTTTAACGAATCGAACGATTCTCTGAATGCGCGACGCAGATTAAAATACATCGAGCAGATGCGAAGTGGACCATCGGTCGATGTGCGCTCTATTTTCAAAATAGCATCGTTAAGAAGAAAGAATTATGCGGAATTTGAAGCTTATAATCTTACCTTACTGGAAGATAAGAAAGGGGCGAAAATGAGGAAAAGTTCGAATCGCAAATTATCGATCGAGAAACGTGAAGCGATAGAACGGAGTGCTCTAAGGATTTGTAACGAGTCTACTTTGTTGGAGAATAAGAAAGAACTGGAAGCGGAAAAGAAACACAATTTATCTTCAAATCATAAACAACCAATAAAGATGTCAAAGATGAAAGTTTTAGGAGCCGATGATCTAACGTTGAGAAATAAAAAAAATGTAGAAACAACAAGAAGACTTAATTTGTCGCCAAGTTACAAACAGTCAATTGAAGAATCGAACACTTCGAAAACTCGTAATAAATTGGCGGAAGATACAAGAGAGTTGCAAGCTAGAAAAATACACAATCCAATGAAATATGAAACGTCAAAATACGAAGATGTTGAAACTTCGAGCGTCTCGAATTTTTCAGAGGCTAACTACGAGAATACTACGATTTCTCTATCCGAAACACATCGAAACGCAAACGCGCGTACGTTGCTGAATCTCAGAGAAATCACGAGGAATATCGAATGGACTATTCATCCGCGAGGAATCACATTAATCAATAAAAATTTATACAGCCAATTTTTGGAGAACGGAAGATTTCACGAGAGCCGACAGCGCGATATCGTCGACGACAATATCGCCAATGCACTGCACGGCGCTTTGTTTTTCAAGCCTGAGATTACAACAGGAATCTTTCGGCGCGCCTCAACGAGGATCGGCGAATCCTTCCCGAATATCCCGACATTCCTACGGCAGGATTTTAATACAGAATTCACCTGTCGCGTGAACAATGAGATGATCGTACGAGACCATTTTTCATTCTTCGACCTTGATTTCGAACGGATGATGGGAGATCAAAATCTGGAAAGCTCACATGATAGTGAAAATCATGTTGTTGAGGAGGAGGAGAATCATGACTTGTGCCCAATATTTGTTGATCCTGTTCCGGATCAACAAATATTTACTGTTCCGGATCAACAAATATTTACTGAACCAGAAACCGGAATCGAAAATTCGACGGAGATTATCAGACCGCAAGAAGACGCGCGTTCGAGCACGGGAAATGTTCAAGCGATAAATATTTTGACATTTGATGAAAATCACAAACAGGTAGATAATGGAACCAGCGATAATTTGCCAGTTCAATCTGTCATTGAAGGATCAAAAAGCTTTTACATTGAAGTGCCAGAAGAAAGCTTATATAATGCTACATTGCCGGTCGAACAGCTTGAAGAACAGGGAAATATGAGCCATGCGATTGGAGATAATGGCTTTCAAGCTCAAAAGCTTAATAAAAGTAATACAAGCTTTGATGAAAATAATAATGAACATTATAGAATTTTAGATCATAGTGCGGATAAAACGATCAATGATCAAAGCGAACAAGCTTTTGACGACAGTGCAACTTCAAGCTTATCAGATGATAATCATCAATTTAACATGTTAATTAATAAACCAAAAAAAATTAGAATTAATTATATTATTGAGAATTCTTCGAAATTATCTCTTCCCGGCCCATCATCGTTTATTGAATCAGATAATTATGATATATCAATATTAAACTCAAGCGAGGAAAAGTTTCAGAAATTGACGCAATTTTCGGATAGCGAAACTACGTTGGACAATCGAAGAAGCAAGTCAATATTGAATTTAAAAATTACGGATGATGATACAATTTTACAATTTGAAGATGTTGAAATCTTAAAGTCGAAAGCCATGCAAAATAGCGCTAGAAACGAAGACGAGGACAGAGAAATGATTTACGAGAAGGCGAATGAATTTTCGACAGGTCGATTTTTCAGAATGAGTTCAGTCGAGAAGCTACAACAAGATGATAGTTATTATTCCACATACGAAAGAAATGATAACAGATCAAATACACCGGTTTCATTGGAAAATGGTAGTTTAATGGAGGAATTTTCAAATGATATTCCGCCAGAACAATCGTCAGACTCTTCTGCCAATAATTCTAGACATTCTCAGTAGCGAAAATTCACTGAAAATCAATCTGCATATAATAATTACAATTTGCAATTTTAAACGCTACAGGGATATATTATTTTTATTTGACAAAGTAATTTTACATTTCTAACAAAAATTTTATACAAAAATACGATTTATGTACATACAAAATATATTCACGCTAGAAATTTCACATACGATAGTCTAGTCATTGGTAACTGGAAAGGCTGCACTGCTTACAGTAGTAGAAATATTTAAACAACATGTTGCATATTTATTTACATAAAACTATCGTTCAAATTATGATTATTATTTTATAATTAGTGATAATTATAAGTGTAATAAATATACTGAATATTTTTAACAAAGGGAGATGGATAAAGATTTTTCTAAAATTAGTACTAGATTACAATGTTTAGACTTAAAAAAGTGGAAGACATTTTGCTATCGAGAAATCATTTAATTAGTAGTCAGAATATTAATTTAACGCGGCAGGGTGTATCGATGGTATTGTCAGCAAGTATCGTCGAGGCCCGGATCCGAGTCAGGAACTACGTAATTAGGGTCGCATACGGTATCCCTGGCAGCCTCTTTGACATCCGCCTTAAATACTCTGTAATTGAGGCTTCCGCTGTTTAGAGACCCGTACAAATACATCGGCAAGCGATTCGAGATCAGCCACACACTTTGATTCGGTTCGTGATCCACTTTAATGTCATTCGGGAACACCAAGGACACATTGCTAGTTCCAATCACACCCAGATTTTGCGGTATGTATTCCTTCCTGGTGTCCCAGCACCACACGGAGTCCCGCGTGACCATGTTGAAGAACATAACGCCGTTCTTGTCGACGACGGACGCCGAAGCGTGGCCGTAATCCTTGGCTCTAGGCTTCCCAACGGGCATAAATTTCTCCGTGCTCTGATCCGCGGTTCTCTTGTCTCTGAATACCGACGTGGACACCGCAAACTCCCGAAAACTGGACATTGGATGGAAGAATAACGTTCTGTCGCCGTAAATATCTATGGGACTGAGCGCTATTCCGAATACTCCGTCGGTCCATTGGAATTTTATGCCATGCAACTCGTATCTGGCCGCCAGAGGATCGGGATAGAAAAAGTGATGCTCGACCCTAAAACTCGAGTCCTTGAAGAAATCGTACACGACGATGCCGAAACGCCAGACGTCGCTTAAATACGCCACCGCGGAGCCGCAGTCGTTGTTTCTGATATCCACCGCGATGTTGGTGTACAACGAGTCCTGTTTGATCTGCTCGTCCGGCAAAGTGTACTTTCTGATGAGAGTGTCGGTGCGCAAATCGAAAATGAATATCGCGGGCGGGCAGACCTGCTTAGACCTTCTAGCGAGCTCCGTCTTACCGGAATCGAGAACCCACAATCGATCGCATTCGTCCACTTGAACTCGAAAGACTGATGTGAAACCTTCGCAGCTTTCTAAAATTTATGGAAACAAATAAAATGAACAATTAGTATCGTCATAGGTCTATATTATTACAATATCGAGATTTTGCAAAAAATTCTTGTGTTTTTAGTTAAAAAGCAATACATTTTTTTTTTTTAAACTGATTTAGATACTTTTTAAATTTCTTTTTGATCGATTATTATTTGCTCGCTTGTTTAAATGACGTCACGGGTTAGATAACTCTACGTTAACGATTACGTTTGTTTCATTGAATCGGTGAACGGAAAATAGCAAGATGAGACGGGACATTTTCACGAGACAGTTCGTGTGAGACAATTGATGGGAAATTCCTTTCTTCACTTTCCCAATTGCGAGAAAATAACACATAGCGCGCTACTGTTTCTGACATTCTCAGGCTCTTCGCTAGTTTTGCACAAGTTTGACATGGTTTTAATTTACTTTATTCTTCGAGAAAATTGTCATTGACGTTTTCATCACGTCTATTGTCTTCAAGTTTCAGCTTCAGAACTTTACGAAATCAACGATGTATTTTGCAATTATTACAAAAATCTTTTCTAAATTTT